CTTTATGATACATATTTAACAGTTGCTCTTTATCAACAATGGCGGAGTTTTCCTCAATGAATGACATTAACTCTGATACATTCTTTAACTTAAAGATATACAACGAACTAGAATTCAACCTAATGATTGGAGCAAGGACACGATATTTTTGAACACTTAAGCAAAAACTAATGGCGTCGTGTCTGCCTCTCGTTGCCAGTCCATGTAATAACTTGCTGTATCTAACAAATTTAGGGTCGTCTGCAAAATCATCAACAATGATTAAAATTGAATGTAGTTTCTTCATCTTCTGTTCTTTCATATAATGAATTATCTTTCTTTGTGTGTTAATTATTTCTTCCAGTTCTTCAGGTTGGTAGGTGTCATAATATAACTTTTCTTTTTCGTCATCAACCTTCATATTATCTTTTTGATATTTCTTGACTTCAACGAAGGTAGGGTCATTATGAACCGACGGGCTAAAAATGAATATACGGGCGAAGCAGTCCCTATAAACATTTAGGATAAGGTTTTGAATTAAAACTGTTTTGCCACCCGTTGATGAAGCAACAACAATTGAGCGAAAAGGTAGTTTTGGTACATGTTCATATTTAGATTGTTTGAAATCGTAATCAGTTATATTTATTGGTTTTATTATTGGAACATCAGACATAATAAAATAATATTAAAGTTATTTAGAAAATATTTTATATTTATTATTTTATATGAATAGAAGTTATTCAGATTATATTGATATAATAGATAAAGTAGAGAATATAGAACAAGTAATAATAACCGATAATAAAATTAAGAAATGTTGTTATTATTCATTAGAATTAATTAAGTTAGGAATACAATATATTAAAAATATAAATATTAATATAGATGGGAAGGAAAAAAAGCAAAAATAATAAAACAGGTTTAAGTGTTTCTTCAACCAATGAAGAAAAAGAAGAAATTGTTAAAGAAACATCAGTTATTGAGTTTGCTTGTCCAATGTGTAAAAAGATGTTAGAAATGAAAAATGAATTAGAAATACAAAAGAAAGGACATTGTAAATGTTCGTGTATTCCAACAAGTTTCAAAATAAGTAAGAATGATAAGAAAATGAATATTGATAAAACTAAAGACAGTATAAACTTAGAAACAGATGTTCATAATATAACTTTTAAATGGGGTCGGCAAGCATCACCATCCGATAGTGGCGATAAGGAAACTCAGGAAACTGTTAAACAAATGATGAAAAAATAGTATTTAAAGAGTAGATTTAACATAATTGCAACATTTAGTTTTAAAAGTTTAGTTTTATAATTTAGTATATATGGAGGAACATTTAGCGAACATTGACAGTAGTTTAGAGTTGTTGTTTCCAAGATTAGAAAAAGTGTTGGAGCAAAATGAAAACATACTGAAAATCTTAAAGAGCTTGAATATTAAACCTACATATGATAACAATAACAATTATCAAGCAAAAGAAGTAGATAGAGACAGTAGCGAATACAAAAATAAACGAAACATTTATGTTAAAAAACTGAATGAAAAAATCATAAAAGAACCTAAACAATCAAGTCTGGATTACTATCAAGTCAAGTATAAAGAAGACACCAAGAAATACGTTTAATCATTAACTAACAAAATTTCGTGTCTCAAAAGCGGTTTGTTTATTTCTGCTACTTTGTAAGTTTTATTACCCATAATATCATATTCAATTTTATCGATATTGAATATTTTATTAGACCATTTAGAGTTATACTCCTTTCTGTCGGTGTAATTACCCCTTTTCTTTTGAAACACTTTTACCTTGTCGTTCTCCACTATTCTGGGATACTTTCTTTTGTTTTTTTCTCGTAGTTTAAGATTGACCTTTACATTTATTTCATTCTCGTCCTTGTGTGCTTCAGACGGTGTCATCCTTGTTGATGAGTGAGATGTGCTGTTATACTGTTTCAATGCCGGCGTTAGGGCGTCGGTCCATTTCATGTTGTTAAACCTAACTCTATCGTGAATTTTGTTTTTCATCGTTCTAATAAAACGCTCGGCCACATTTGCGTGGGTCTTCGTAACGATGTGGTTTATTCCTTCACTGTTGAAGAAATCCTGAACGTGATTTTTAGTTGCAAACGCTCCGTCGTCATCAGAATACACGGACATCGGATAACCCATCTTTTTAAAGCTTGCTCTCAACGCCTTCAAAACGTTCTCTCCGTCTCTTTCCTCCATCGGTATTACATCTGCTAATTTACTGAAGATGTCAATCACGACTAAAGCATACTGTGGAACGTTCTTGTCTTTTGCTAAAGGAGACATATGCATTATGTCTATTTGATATTCATATCGTGCGAATGGAGCGGTATAGGAATTAGTTCCTCTATAATTTTTGATTTGTTTATTTGGCTGTTTCTTTAAGAAAGACTTTACATCGTCTAATGTTATTGTTGGGTCTTCTTCCTTTGCCTTCTTGTGTGTCGCTTGTGTGCTTCCGAAACCCTCGTCTAAGTCGTAATAGATGTTGCTGATTATTTGGTCTTTTGTTAATCTCGCCATTATATTAAATTGTTAGAAAATATTTTTTCAATAAAAACCCCGCCCCTTAACATAAAATAAAAAACTACTTAAAGAAATATTAACTTATTATATTAAGTGAAAATATGACTGAAAATGTCGGAGTGATTGCTGACTTATCAAACTGGGTGCTATCAGACGAAGAAGATGATGATAATGACAGTTATAAAAAGGAATTAGATGACGAGTTAAACAAAATAAAGGATTTCGTCAAAAGACACCCTTTGCCATCAGTTGATGAAAACGAAGAATTCTGGAAAGATGTTATTAACAGGTTTAGGGATAATAGCGGATTAAACTTGATGACAATATACTCATTTGTTAGGTTTGACATCATGAAAGAAATGTATGAAAACCTAACAGATGAAAACATCATAAAAGACTGTGGTAAAAAGTTAAACCGAGATGGGCAGTTTAATGCTATGATTATTAATCACTATATCTTATCGGGAGCGATACGGAAACTAAACACAGAAGACAGTCTAGTAGATGGACAGATGCGAATTATTGAATTCTGGTGGGATGGAATAGGTGGATGGAAAGCGTGAGTGATTTAGTTTAATGATATTATTCAATTATAATATGATTAAACCTAGTTTTTATAATCTAACAATGAGGTTAAGACATTTAAATTAAACCTGAAACCCAGACCAGCCGACCAGCAACCCCTAGCCAAAACTACTTAAAGAAATATTACCTTATATATTAAGAGAAAAATGAGTAAGGGTAAAATGTCAGAGAATAATTTTATGGTTGTGAATTGCGCTAGCTTACCTGAAGGCTTAGTTTCAATCATCACTACTTACATTAATGGTAGTGAAGGGTGGCAAAGACTAAAACAGTGTAAAGCATTAAGGGTCTTACAAAGGAAATGGAAACCGTCTATTTACACTGAACGAGTAGGAGAAAGTAGATATTATGTTGAGATTCGCAATAAATGCTTAAAAGGTGATAAAGCGCTTTCATATGCGTTGAAACCACCAAAAGAATTATTAAGAATGATGAAGTATGATGAAGAAATACAGGTTGGAATAGTAGTTAGTTCAAAAATTATGTATAATAATAATATTTGCAACAGTCGTTCTTATTCATCATCTAAACAGAATAAGATTTCAAGTAGAGCGTCATTACAATACCATATTGAACAAGCAGTTGAAGAAACCAAACAGACTATGAAACGACACGAAATCATTACTATCGAACATGTTGCAATTGAAATTTATAGAAAACAGAAACAATGATTTCATGGCTTAATCATAATATTTAATTATAATATGATTAAACAGTGTAAACTTTTATAACCTTTCATTATACTGTAATTTTAACCTATAACAAAATTTCATTAACAAAACATATATCAAAACAAATACAACACCAACACCCCAGAACTTGATAACTACTAAAAGGGCTACCTCTTTCAAATGAAAAAAATGTCTGCCCCCAGCCCAACAATGAACAAGGCGACAATTTACCCAAATGATTACCTTAACGAAAACGATAAATAAGCTCCCTAAAAACCCTCTTTTAAAAACGAATAAGGGGGAACATAGATTTGAGATGAACATAAAAACCAGAACAGGCAACCATCAACAGACCGGGGGGGGGGGGGGGGGGGGGGGGGGGGGGGGGGGGGGGGGGGGGGGGGGGGGGGGGGGGGGGGGGGGGGGGGGGGGGGGGGGGGGGGGGGTTGGGTGGTTGGGTGGTTGGGGTGTGGTTCGGAGTTGGTTTAGGCTTGGTGGGTTGGTGGGTTGGTTCAGGGTTGGTTTGCGGTGGGTTTCGGGTGGGTTTGGGGTTTGGGTTGATTTAGGCTTAGGGTTGGGGTTAAGGAGGGGTTGCAGGGTGGTTTGGTTTAGGGTAGGATGTTGCGAGAGGTGCAGGGTGTTGGTTCACGGGGTGAAAGGGGGAGTCTGGGACCGAAGCTGCAGGGCTCACACGGTACTGGACAGCATCCCCAGCATTGCCAGCATCATCCCCAAGATGCGGATGATGCGGGGGAGTGGGGGGACCATACCATTGGGGGGGGGAGGTACGTGGCCCAGGGACTGGTACATATATATATATATATATACACATACATGTATATGTATGCGTATGTGTGTATATATATATATATATGTATATGTATGTATTTGTACCTTCTATCTGCGCACCCATGGTGTTCTGCTTGTGGCTGTCATGGATTTTCGTTGGAGCCAAGAACTTGTGGACTTTAGATGCTGAGTGCATTGGGCATTCGACCTCCATGTAGCTGGCCTCTGCTCTTGTCTATCAAGATACGCCGGACGTGCGTTGCTCCCGATTTTGTTCAGAACAAGCTGTGCGATCGGAACAGGGTGGATGATTCCAGTGATGTGAGAGAATAGATTGCCTGGAGAAAGGGATAGACTGGGCGTGAACACATCTGCTTTCTCCCGCGAAGTCACGCCGCACCCCTCCCGGGTCTTCGGTTCTTGGCCCAGGTATCAGGCCGTGGACCGCTTTCAGCGCTACGCGCAGGAGGAGGCGACTGGCAGCGTTTCGCGGCAAATCCCTCGCCTGAGCGCTGGAGCTTCGGCCCCGAGCAGAAGCATTCGTGAACCATGGCCACGTACCCATGTCCATAGGTGTCCATTCTGGTTGTTTTGGTAGAACTATGGGTGGCCCTGGTTTCCCTGGTGGTTTAATCATCCACCAGGGCCATCTATTTCCCCTAAACGGACACGTATGCCCATGTCTCGCTTTTGAATGATGACGGCTAAAGATTGGTTCCGATGGCAATCACTGCCACTTGCGTGTTACCAGCCTTACCGCAGCCACCTCCAAACGCGTGCAATGATGAATTAGTTGGTTTGAGCATTTGCATGGAACACTTGCTGGAAGGAAAAAAAGGCTCAAGCTAAAACCAAGCCAGAGTTCTGATTTGCAAATCCAATCATCTTACCCAGGGAGGGTCACACACTTGCAACTCCAGCAGCGTACCGAGCTGAGAACGAGCAACATGCAAAGCACAGCTCAGTGAGCACCATCTTGATATGTCGACCAACCCAGGTACCAGCCATGCTAGCAACTCAGGTCGTATCACCAATGTGTCATAGTATCACTCAGGTTTTGGGCCGACAGCTTGAATCCCTGAAACCCGCACACCGAGGAAAACAATTCGTTGAAACCCACGGACTGGTGAAAGCAATCAGCCAACGAAACCAGAAGCCATGAGCCTCGTTGTCGGAGGGAATTCTGGACTGATGTATCTAAGTACTCTGCGCCTGCGCCTGGATTCATTTTAAAACCATTGTATGGTGTGTACAAGGCGTTCCATTCAGCTGCGACAAGACACCACAGGGAGCTTGTGCGTGAGGCCATTGTGCTGGGCTCTCATGTGTTGCCGCGCATTCCAAGTTTAGATGTTGGTTGATCATCAGATCAAAAGCTGCAAGTCCATCGCCGACACCAACACACAACCCAATGATTGCAGCATGGGGCGCGCTTACGAACTGCATCCATTGTGAACAGGTGTTCTATTCCTCCAGCCGCTCCGGGCTGAAGAGAGCAGACAGGCGGAGATCCTGGACACGGTGGCGGAACAGGGAGGGTGCCCCGAGCTGCCGGAGCTTCATGGGCGTCTTGGCACGAGGAGTGCCGTTGGGGAGTTTGCATCCCTCTTTTCGAAGTTTGGGTGGCTTGTATTGAGGTTTTTAGCCCTGGGAATTTTGGCAACTTGGCAAGTGCTTTTGGGCGACGCTGGATCTTGTTCATGGGTTGGACCAAGAATGGTGCATTGAGATTTGTTGTTTTCAGAGAACTTGAACTCAACAGATGCGCTGGCCTCTGGTTCCGTGTGGCCATTTTTCCTCACGGTCTCTCATGTCGTAAAAAAAAGCATGCATCCAGGCCCCTAAGAGCCCCAGCTTTGGAACCTCGTCAGTGGGGTGGTATCTCCTAGCAACAGAATTGGATTCCTGGACTGATTGGATTTCTGAACGGTCGCGGAAACTCCTGACTGGCATACTGGACTTAGACATTGACGGCATCAGCCGTCAAACTTGGATGTTTAATGCACTTGGTAAACAGCTTACAGCCATGGTTACAACTGAGATAGCTGGGGGCAGCCCCCGGGCAAGCATGGTTACAACCTACTTGCTGAGTGGGTTGAGCATCCAAGAAGAGAAAGATAAGGATCGGGACGTGGGCGAAGGGACTTGCCTCGTGACTAGTGATCAGTATCCTGAGGCTCGAAGCACACCACGGCCTCAGCTGCCAGCACGCCTGCGTTTGCATGAGCGTGATGGGCCCTTCCGCCCTGAGCCTTGCTGAGCCACGCGGCCAAACCGGGGGAGATTGTCTGACAGGGGACTAGTTCTTCTGGGAAGCCCAAAACCCCCACTCCGTCCTCTCGCTTCCCCTTCAATCCCTTGTCCCCGAGCGCTTGGATGGGGCCAGATTGTAGATCCCACAGCAAGGGGTCTTGCCTTTGAATTGAGCCGGGCCTTGCGGAAATGTCACATCCGTTGGGGCGGCAAACGCAGACTCGCAGAGAGAGAGAGAGAGAGAGAGGGAGAGAGATACCAAAATTAAGACATCGGGGCCAAGTAAGTAAAGGGTGAGCTGTGATGGAGGTCTCAGGAAATTAGTTGAGAGTTGAAAAGCTAACGTCTGTGATCCCTAACGCAGGCGGTGCCACCACAACCGCCTGCCCTTTCCACTGCTGTGGGCTGCGGCGCGGGATGTGCTGAAGGCCTTGGATTTCCTCCACAGGCGGGGGGGTTGGGGGGGTGTCAGCTAGGTTCCATGCGGCCTATGCGCCGCTTTCTTTTTGTTTGGGGTTTATGGGAGATTGGGTCGTCTTCAATCATTTCAGACGGCAGCTCCAGAGATCGCCAGGGTTTTGGAGCCTAGCTAGTTGCACAAATGCTTCAATCATGACTCATGACAAGGAGAGAGCTGTTTGTTATTTCCTTTCCTTCTTGCGGAACCAGCATTTTTACTCCTGTAGCAGTCTTCAGAGCAAGCTGGGTGCGAATCAACCGTGACTTTTCGCGAGGGTCGGAAAGCTTTGACTGTAGACATGTCATGGTTATAGACCCCTCGCGAGGACCTGCTCCATCATCCACACGGACCCGCTCGTGTCATAGTGAGCTGCTGTTGGAGCTTGGCAATGTGGGGTACTCGTGCTGCTTGCTGTCCATTCGCGACTTTAGTGCCTCCAGCTCGGCCGCCGACATTGCGAACGTGACTCATATTTTTCGCGCTTTCCACATTTTTTTCTTCTTCGGGTGGACGCGGCTGCTTTCAGCGTATTTTTCCCGGGGCAACCCCCCCCCCCCCCCAAAATGGCTGCGGCGCCCCAACCTGGCCACAGACCAGGGGGCTGGAACCCGGGAACCCCTTGTCACTGGCTGTAGTGTGTTCATGTTTCGGACACGCTGAACAATGTTGGCGAATGGTCGCTATGCACCGCAATTTATTTGTTTTGCAATTCCGACTTGAAACATCTCAAGGCAGTTGCTATGCGGTTTTTTCCTGCGGGCCAAGCGGCTTCTTTTGCATGCAGCATATTGCTGGCTTCATCTCAAGAGGGCAGATCTTACCATCGCTCTGAGAGTTGTTCCAATTGGTTGGGACGTAGACTCGTAGACCTTTGCGCAGCCTTGCAAAAACACCAGCAAAACAAACGAACGAACAAACAAACCCACACATCCACCCACCCACGCACGCACCCCACCCCACCCCCACCAAGGTTGTCGTGAGAAACCGACGCCCGGAAAAACTGAGGAGCTGCATACAACAGCTGGTGTTTCAAGGTTGGAGTAATGTTTTGGAGCAGGATAGAGGTTCCTGGTGAGGTGATGCTTAAAGGGGACATACGCCATGTTTTCGCCGCGGTTTTCGGTGCCAGGACGTGAAGCCGGAGAACGTGCTGGCGACTGGGCCATGTACGGATCTGCAGAGCTGCAGGCCGAATGCGTTCGGGGGAACTGGCATTTTTCATTCCGGGTGATGGGGGGAGGAGGGGCAAAGGGAAGGAACCATAAGATGGCACTGTTTGGCTTGGCTTTTTTCTCTGTAGCAGGACCATCTATTTCTCCAAAAGGTCATCTATGGAAGGACCTGTTTTGTTGTTGCGTTTCTGTTTGGGTGAGAGAAGGGCACAGAAACAGGAGCTAAAACTCGGAGAGCGCCACGGCTTTAGTGCTCCTTGAGTAATCATGAAAAGATGTTGGCTTCTGAATGACCAGACCATTGGGGCATTTTGTAAACCAGAATCTGGCTTCATTCAGTCTGTATAGCATCAGAGATTGAGTTGTGAGTTAAGGCAGATAACTAGAATCTGGACAAAGGACACCGAGTGTTCTCTTGAAAATGAGCAATTTGTCAACAGAGACAGAAGCACTCATGAAATCCCGGCAAGGAATCGATGTGAGGGCTCCCCGTCCAGGCGCTTCGGCGGCCTGGACCGGGCGCGGCAGATGGACTTGGCGCTGGGCGAAGGCCAAGCGAAGCGCTTCGTGAGCTCTGAGAGCAAAGGGAAACCACCCGGTCCCTCTATGTAACAAAAGGAAGCCGCCTGTGGTTTGGAAGGCCTCGATTTTCGGGAACCCACCCCCCTCAGTGTTTTTCCCGAGGGAAGCCAAGCGGAGCAAGCAAACCAGCGGTCCTTTTCCAGAGTTTTGGATTTTCCCTTGGGAGGAGCAAGGACCGCCTCTTTGGGGTCAAGTTCCATGAGGTTTGCTTGAGGCGATGTTTAGAAGGGACACGGACGCTGGTCGCGTGCTTTGGCAAACCCGCATGGCTTGTTGTCATTCACGCATGCTTGGATGTTTGTGTTGGCTCGTAGTGCTGGCGTTTGTGATTTGTGCTTGGTTGATACCTTTTCAGAATTGTTTGGACAATTTGCATGAGACAGTAGTTGTTTGAGGGTGAAGGTCAGGCTTTGAAGGCTCTATCTGATGGGAGATTAGGTTGCCAAAGACACTGTTGTCCGTGCCGTGCAGAGCATGCAAAACTCATGGCAGTTTGCAGATATGACCTTGGGACCACATTGTTTCCTTTTTTCTCTTGCTCCAACCACGGCATCTGACGGTGGGGTAAAGGTTGTTGGTTGGATTTTCGGATTTTCCATGTGTTGAAGGTGTGGAAATCGAACTGTTCAATGCGTGCATCCACGGGGACGTGTCCAAGCAAAGACTCTGCCAACGGCGAGGATCTTACGATGGCTTCTTTTTGACAAATGAAGATCACATGAGGACCTGCGCCCGTTGTGGGGGTAACCCACCTTTGGTGGACTTGAAAATGGAAACCGAAAAGCCGACGTTGGAGTCCCCCATTTCCAGCCCTTCTCGGGGTGTTCAAGCGACAACGGGAGCACCCCAGGCGCGCGGGCCACCTTCGGCCTGGCGGACCTGGGGAACAGCTGCTGCTCGGAAAGGGATGGCCAGCGAGCGTGAAGGGCTTTAAAAAGGGACGCTGTCAGACGCCTTGGATGGGCCGTTCTTTGGATGTCCGGCTGGGCGGCGGCCACTTTTTTGTCTGGAGGGAACCTTTGAGGACCTTTCTGAGTGAGATGCCTCGGGCCGTGCAGGTTACAGAAACCGGCGGCTGGCCCTGGACATTTCGACTCTGGAATACAAAGCCGTGGAGGCAGCCTCGCCTCCCGAGCCGAAACTCGCACAAGAACCTCAGGATGCTAGGTGGGCATGTGTGTTGAATTGCATGTCATTCTCAAAGCACAGTTCACATTTACGTAGCTTTGCCCCAGGGACAAACTTGATGAACCTTTGCTTAAATTTCTTCGGGCAAGAGCCTGGCACTCTGCTGTGGCGAGGTGCTGATTGATGCTGGCTATGACACCAGCGCCGACTTGTGGTCGACGGCTTGCACCATCTACGAGCGGCTTCACTATGAAGTTTTATCGAATTCCTTCTTGCAGCCCACAACAGTTATTGTTGCTTTCCTGCTTTTGGCCACTTTGCCTTTGGTCCTTGTTTTTCTTTGCCTCTTGTGGTTGTTTGGCTTGCACCCTATCTCTCGCATCAGCTTGAGCAGGGATTAGACCCCTTGCTTCTTTAACCCCACATGGCTCCACCTTGCTTCCAACCACGATCCTCGCACGGAAAGAGACCAAGGTGTCGGTTTGAACGCCAAGTCACAGCGGCGTTTCGGGACTGCGCTTTGGGTTCTTTTGGGTTTTGGGTTCTGGGCAAGACTTGGCCATGGTGAGTTTGGAGCGGCAACCGTCTGCAAGGTTGGCGACTGGCCGCTGCTTGGCGGCATGCCAGAGTTTTGCGGAGTGATGCGAGTGCTGGAGGTTGTTGCCGGAGGGGCCCTGCGCTACGTTTGAAGCATGATATGCGTGAAAGTTCAGGCAGTTAGTCCGTCCCTTCGATTGCAGATTGGCATGGTCAAACCAAGAAGCCACCGAGATGCGCCAGTATCACAGGGCAGTCAATACACCCGGCGAATACACAGGGCAAGCAAACTGGGGTTGAGAGGTTTGCTCTTTTGGAGCCATTGGAGCCATCAGGCTATCTCTTCGACCCGCGGCGGATGCAGGCGAGGCCCAAGGACCTCAAGGTCGGCAGAAGTCAAGAGAATCGGTCGGGGGGCGGGTCGCCCGGAAGGAAGCAGGAAAGGAGGATTTCTTGAGAAGGTCCTGTCAAAGAGGTGCTCCAGGTTCCGGTTTCCCGCTCAATTGGCTCAATTGGCTGGGAAAGGGCCAGAAGTAAAAGGCAAGGGGCTCTAGATCAATCAGGAGAGTTCTCTAAAATATCTGAGTTTTGGGGGCTTGCCCAAACCTTGTCGACCTTAACGGGGGGGGCCCTTTACTAATTAGGGTGTAATCATTAGGCTCTCGATCTCTTTCTCTTTCTCTTTCTATCGATTTGCTCCCATCTTTTCAGCCTGCCCGAATGGGCCTTTCCTGATGTGATGGATCCCTTTAAATCATGTGGCAGAAACAGCTTGACTGCGAGGTCCGGGAGCCGGTGGCAGAGGAGCACCTGGCGCAGGTGGCAGAGCTGAGACCCGGCAAAAGTTTGGGCCGAGTGGGAAGGCGAGACTTCGCCCTGAGGGAATGTGGGCTGAGAACCCGACTCCTTGAGATACTTTTCTACTTTGTCATTGATTCGAGCTTTGTTCCAGCTTTGGGGCAGATTGTGCGACTTTCCTGCAATTGTTCCTGGAATCTTGATGGGCATTCTTGGGTGGATTGGCTGGGATCATTTGGTGCGTCCTTTGGAAGGGATTCATTGTGAGTTTATGGCCGCCCAAAGAACAAGTAGCTGAAGTAGCTGAATTGGAGTTCAGCTCCGTTAGCGGGCAGTGGTCCCTTGGCGCTCCAGTTGCCACAAAGCGGTGTTGCAGCCGCCTTGGTTGGGCTCTTGAAGATCCACCGAATTGGATAGAAACCAACCATGCCACGTTTTCAACTGGCAGGTTGCCAGCCTTAGGGATTCTGGCACTGAGTTCCAACCCATGATTGGCACGGCTCTCACTTGCGTTCGTCAACAATCACCACAGGTTGAGGTCTATTTCTGTCCTTAGTCTCACTCAGATTGTATTGCAGCACCGGATTCTTGCTGGGTGTCCTCGCCTTCCAAAGCACAAGTCAGGTGGACCAGTCTCAAAGTTGCCCACACAAGCTTGCTCAATGCTTGCATGCTCTCAGGAAGGTCCAGCTTATGCAGGTCACCATTTTGCTGAATGTCCAACTTTGGCGGGCGCTCTATCCGGTTGCGTTCTGCTATCCTTTCCCTCCAGGCAGCTTCTCGTGAAACCTGTATATGTTCCAGTCCCCAGGCCGCCCTCCCCATAAGGTAGGGTGCCCCCCTTCCCCGCATCATCTGCATCATGGGGGATGATGCTGGCAGTGCTGGGGATGCTGTCCAGTCCCAGACTCCCACCCCTTTCACCCCGTGAACCCGTACCCCAGCACCCCTCGCCGAAACACAAATCCTAAACGAACCCTGCAGCAACCCGAAGCCAACACTAAACCAGCACAACCCCTAAACCAACCCACCCTGCAACCCTTACCCTTAACCCCAACCCTACCTAAATCAACCCTAGCCAACCCTAAGCTTTACCCACAACCCTAAATAACCCAACACCAACCCACCAACCCTAAACCAACTCAAACCGGGGGGGGAGGGGGGGGGGGTTCACGGCCTGGAACATATATATATATATATTTACTCAATGGCACACACAACAAGCACTGAGCAGCAACACGTGCAACAACCCACAATACACCTCACAACGAGAGCATTTCAAAGCGAAGGCAACGGAAATCGTGGCCGCCCAGCTCTAGGCTTGGCCCGCTTCCCCGCTCTTTGATGAGCCGGGCGGGGGCTGCTGCCAAAGGCGGGGGAGCAGTGCAGCCGGGGATTCTCATTCGCCAGCCTGACAGCATCCGGCACGCCTTAGGCGTTGTTCCCACTCGACAGCTAAGGGGTTGTTAGTTTGAGTTTGCTATCCACACTCCTTCTGCGTCATACCGCCGTCCGCGCCCCAGCCAAGCGCCCGCCTGCTCTTCGAATTCAGGAGAACCTGATGGGCGTTGACAGGAGAGCCAAATTCAATTTTCTTCATGCAAACATGAAGAGATAGATACATAGATAAATAGGTGCATAAGTAACTAGATAGATATAACAAAAAGTCAATACATATATATGTATATATATACATACATACATACTATACCTACACATGTATTGCCAATCCTATTTTCTGCAAGCGGGCATCACCTGCCACCTTGGAAAGGGTGTTGATGGTGTATACAACTGGCATGGCATTCAGACATGTCGCACACATTTGGTGAAGAGGAGCCGTGCTGGGATATAGACCAGGGTTTTACCAGGAATGTTTTCAATATATGAAACAAATACACATTTCATAAAGAAGTATCTCAAGACGCCCTTCTCGGAATTGCTCGAGGTAGAAGCCTTGTCAGAGAAACCTCCTTTCTTTTTCCTCTTCGGGCAAGAGCAGCCAAGATTGTTATGGTTATTCTCGTTTGATACTATGCAGACGTTGGCATACATATGCATTTGCGTGTCACCAAGAGCTATTCATTGGCGCTTTGTCAATGGGGCCATCAGGTGCTACTAGTGAACACATGTCTCTAGGTGTGTGAATGGACCCTAACGGACCCCAACATACATCCTTCTCACCTAACGCCAAAACCAGAACTGGATGCTTCTTTGAGACGATACATTGATGTATGTGCGTATATTGCATCAGTGCACTATGTTACGCTCCCTTGGTGTGTGTGTGTGTGTGCGTGTGTGTGTGTGTGTGTGTGGTGTGTGTGTGTGTGTGTGTGCGTGTTTGTGTGTGTGTGTGTCTGTGTGTGTGTGTCTGTGTGCGTGTGTGTCTGTGTGTGTGTCTGTGTGTGTGTCTGTGTGTGTGTGTGTGTGTGTGTGTGTGTGTGTGTGTGTGTGTGTGTGTGTGTGTGTGTGTGTGTGTGTGTGTGTGTGTGTGTGTGTGTGTGTGTGTGTGTGTTTGTGTGTGTGTGTGTGTGTGTGTGTGTGTGTGTGTGTGTGTGTGTGTGTGTGTGTGTGTGTGTGTGTGTGTGTGTGTGTGTGTGTGTGTGTGTGTTTGTGTCTGTGTCTGTGTCTGTGTCTGCGTCTATGTTTTGAAGGCACCCTTGTGGGGGTGGTCTTAAAGGACCACCTCAAAAGAAACGAAACCATTTTTGTGGGTCCCCTTATGTTGTCATCTCGTGCCCTCGCCCGCCGCATCGCCAGGCGATGCCACCGCGGCCGCCGCGCGCCGAGCGGACGCCTTCCTGGCGACGGCTGAGGCCGAGGAGCTGCCGCGCTGCGGCGTGCTGCAGAGGTGGGGACGTCCTTTTGCAACTCCAACTCCGAAGGGCAGAGTCTATGAGGGTTTTGTTTTCTTGACCTCTAAGAGGTTTAAGGGCTCTGTGAGGTTTTTGTTTTCTCAACCTCTATGAGGTTTGGCGCTCTATTGATGGCAGGGTGAAGTGTCTTGAACTCCTTCTTAACCTGGCCAGGCTCTGTGTGCGAGCCACATGCCAGTTCGTTTTAGCCTCATGGCAAGCTGTTGGCCATGTCAGGAGTTGACACTGAGGGCCCTTTCAGCAAAGACCAACTATCGTCCCACCATGTCAAGGCCACACTCAACCACATCTTGGTGACCGTATAGTCTCTTCCCCTTTTGAACCACTGCTCATAGAAGGCGGTTACTGCACCCAGCTGGACTGCTTGGACACTCCTCGTTGGTAGGCTGAGAAACCACCAGACACGAATTCGGAAGATTGGCCTGGGCTCTTCTTAGCTCATTTGATCTTCTTACAGGGACAAGTTCTCCTGCCCTGATATATCACCGTGGAGTAGATGATAGAGCTACGTTCTCACCTTAGGGACGAAGTCACGGACGAAGTCCCATCGAGCTGCCGGGCCGTTGGCAGGCTGCAGGAGCACCTGGCAGAGGCGGCCTTTCCCCTGGCCGAGCTGCTGGAGCCCATGCTGCAGGCGACGGGGGCTCTGCGCCCTGTGGCAAGCTTCGGGATTCCCGAAGGTGCTGCGTAAGAATGTGGGTGTCTCTTTTTTGAGGGTACCCTTTTTTTGTGATTTGGAAGGGACACCAAAAGGAAAACCACCGGCCACGCTTGCTTCGGTTGCCTGCCCCCCCTGGCCCATGCAGAGGCGGACAAGTCCATGTCAGTTCATTTCAGCGCCATTGCGCGCGAGGAATGCATAAAACAAGGGAGAGAAAACAAGGGACCTTTAGCCACAAGGCAGTTGCATGTGCAGCAAAATTCGGAAGCTGGCACGCAAGGCATTGCACAATTTTCAATGCAACCGACGGCAACAGAGGAGAAGGTTCCTGGTAGCTCAAGGCGGGTTTCAACGTATTCGACGGGCAGTCTGGCCATGGAAGAGCGTCTCCACCTTCACTGCCCGCAAAGGAAGAGAAGTAGCCTCGGATTGTCGCTTTGCAACAGCCCCCTGATGGCGAAGGACATGGCCCGCCAAAGATCTGCCATGCTCCATGTCGTGTAGCATCTTGCCTTCATGTACGCAAACGACAAAACCTTCACGCGATGGCTTCCCGGAGCTGGCAAAAGCAGAAACCCCCTACGTGCTGGGTGATGCGTTCCTTCCACACGCCTGGGATGAGCTCAATCCCGTCTTCACCCAGATGTAGAGAAGGGCAAGCGGCAGCCTTGATACCATTGGAGGACATGTCGCGGCTAGATTCGCACAGAGGTCCCCGTGATGGCCCGAGCCAAACGCTTGAAAGGAGAAACATCATTTTGGGGGGTCCAATAAACAGGCACAGCCAAAGGTACTGTATAATGTTGGACATAAGTTGTACTAGCTTGAGCTAGTTAAATCGAGATGATGCTATTGTGCCAAAGATGCTACTGTGCCAAAGAACTGGTTCGAGCTGTTGGACTCGGCTTCAGGGAGCCAGGCAGATCGGGCACTACTTCCGAGAGAGAGAGTGAGAGAGTGAGAGAGAAGGCGGAGCCCGCCCAAAGATGTGCCGCGGGGCCGGCGCTGGCGTGGCTGCAAGAGCTTGAAAATGCGCGCAGTGGGCCGTGCTCTGTGGTTCGATAGAAGCTGCCGAAAGCCTATGCGGCGGGCCTTCTTCTAATCCCCTCGGATTGGTGTGTGCAACTTTGGGCCCAAATGGTTGGCATCCTTTCGGCCTGAATCCGGCTCAGGGATCCCTAGATTTGACACCAGGGATCTCAGCTCGCATTCACAAGGCATGCGGAGCGCATCGCCTCTCTCAGGTTCCAAGCGCAGAAAGATTGATTGGCCGGGATCCCTTGCCACGGGTCGATGGAGAGGGGAGGGGGCTCAATGGAGAGCTATTTGTCGAAACAACAGCACTGCACTGTCTGACGCAGATGTTGGGACGCAGGAAGCCAGGAAGCCATTGGGCACGGTCTTCCGACTGTTCAAATTTGAAGCCAACATCGATTGGCATCATTTGGAAAGTGCAAGAGCGAACGGGAGTGTCTCTTTGCGAGGGTCGATTTTCGAGGGAGGGGAAACCGCTCGTTTTGCGGGTTCCCTGGGCCAAGACAACCCCAAGTGGCAGGGTATTGAAGTAGCCAAAGGGCAGTTCAAGTGGTATTTGCTGGGCGCAGATGTAGTCCAGCGGAGAGCTTTTCCAGTTCAGAATGTCGGGCAAGGAGCGATGTTGTCCAAAGTGTCGGTTCACATCGAAGCTTTCGCTTGCCCTGTGCCAAGTGTCAACTCGCAGGGGCAATCGGGACAATCTGCCGCTGGACAGTCTGAAGAAGTGCCCCACCCACCCTGTGCTGCAGGGTTTTGTTGCCGGTGGCGGGCAGATTGCACTGAAATTCAGTTGGAAGGTCAAGATGTATGGCACGAAACATGTTGCCCGAGTTGCTCGGACACTCAGGGTAAGGTCACCTTTGGCATCTTGTCAAGCATGGTACTTCCCCGCAACTGAGAGATTAGAAAAAAAGTTCTTAAAGGTTGACCTGGCAGGGATGATTTCGGACTGATGCAAAGGGTGGCCCAAAAAGCAGATCACCGGACCATTTCCAGAAAGCGGATTACTCAAGACATGCAAGCAAATATAAGCCAAGGATCTCCGACCCATTTGTTTTGTATCTTGGTCAAGCAGGCGACTTCAAAGCAAGACTGGACACTTACATCGACCATGAGAACGTGACAGCTTCACCGGGCATGTCCTTTTCATCCAGGATGTGAGTCACGACCAAGGTGTGGTTTGGCACAATCACACTTTCTCTTTATGCAAGGTAGTGGGAACAAATTCAGCTTTGAATTTGCATATTCGTTTGCCTGTGCACCTTTATTTTGCCATGTCAGCCCTCCGGCGCTGTGGAGCGCGATTGGGGAGGCAGTGGGCAGGGCGTATCCTTGAGGCTTGCCTTTGTATTCTCAAACTTTTGGACAACAGCAAGCAGAGAAGGAACGGCTATTCTCTGAATACCAGGCACTCGGCCCCAAGCGAATGTGCCCTTTGGGTTTTGGAAGGCGCAGCCTATGAGGCTGCGGCTTTGGGTACCTCAACAACCATAAGACCAATGCCAGCTGTTTCATTCTGCTTCATGTGAGTTGAGGAAGGTGTAGAGGCGAGCCGGCGCAACCCATCGCAGTCTTTTTGCTGAGTGAAAAGCACGTCTTGCACCTTGGGTCCATCAGCTTTCCGACCGAGTCCTTTATCCTTTCGCAGCTTTCCTGCTGCTCCAGGCTTGCGCGGCATGTCTCAACCGCGCGCTTCCGAGATGCGGAGCGTCACTCTCAGTGCTGTTTTTGTTCGATCGACATGAGGTCCCTATGGCATGCACCTACTGGAAGAAATTCCATTCGTGGGATGTCTCTCACCAGTCTAAGCTTCTGTTGATAGTCTTACTATACGTGTCTGCCATTCTGGGGGTGGAGGGGGGGTGCGTGCTGTGGCACGAATTGCTAGGTGGCGCACAATCTCTCTCATCCACAGCAAAAGGATGTCTTCTCATTCGGGGCCATGTTCTCGACTTGACTCGTAAAACTGGGGGCATCTCAAAACACATTTGTTCCACATGGAGAGCGGCCATTGCCTAGAGCAAGCTGACACAGCTTCAAGGCCTGCAACCTAAACGACATGTGACCGAGGACATATCGCCTGTACCTGGTCACAGACGATGCCTTTCTGGACGATCACTTCTACCAGAAGGCAAGTGGAAATTCCTTCCAGACTGCAGAGAGGAGGCAGTTGCGCAGACACCTGCTACAGTTAGGTCTGTTTGAAAGAGTCAGCTGAGGTCGAAGCTAGTCCAATTTTGGGCGAATGTAGCTTGTGCGGCACCTCCAGGCATGTCACCTTTCGGCTTGAGCATCAGGGATGCATGCAGAGCCTCCCCTGCCTCCCATGGTGCTGCGATATATGTCCATCTCACATGCGTCTTTGAGCCCGCATGAGGTTCAGTCAAAAAGCCAACGAATTGTCCAGATTTTGAGCACAGCATAGTTCAACCATGGCTCGCATGAACTGGGCACCAGGTGGAATCTGCGCTGAGAGGCGGGTTGTGACCGACTGCAGATCCCCGGTTCAGTTTTGAGGGAGATGAAGGGCAGTCGTGTTGCTCAGGGGTTCAGGAAGACAAGGTGTTTTTAAGACACACACACACACAAAGACTAGCAGAGACCTTGGTTTGGCTGGGAAACTCAGATCCTTCTGCTTGCTCTTTGAATTCTGTGGATGCCGGGCACTCCCTGTTCATTCGCTCGTGACACTGTGGGCAAGGCATAGAGTGAGTCCGCCTGCTTACGCTGAAGATTGCAATGCTCAGTTGTGTTTGCGTGGCTATTAACATTTTCTGGATCACTTGATCCATTGAACCTTCTCAGCCACCAAGTCTTTTGGCCTCCACCCACCCTCGCTCTCTTCGCGAGCGGCTAGTCGCGGTTAGTCAGGGGGCGTCACCTGCCTTCAACTGCGGCTGAAGGAGGCCCAATTCTGAATGGAAGGGCGGGGGTGCTTGAGCCAAATCAAAAACCACTCGTCATAGATGATGGCTCTGGTTTGCAGGATATGCTCAGACATCGTGTTGCTCCACCCTGCTGGCAAGACTGGTGATCACCCGGATCCCGTTTGGATTCTCGACCTTCAACTTCCGAGAACTTCTCCCCGAAGCCAACATGAGGCAGCGCTTACTTGCCGGCCTGAAGGACCTGAGAATCAAGATTTGTCTCTGACAGTCCAGCTGAACGCTCCTTTTCTTCCATTAGACGTCGTTGCTTTCGGAGGCCATGTCTTGAAAGCCATCTCAGGCCACTTTGAGCTATTTTCGTTGAAAGAAGAGACTCATGAACTTCCACAAGCAAGTGCTTGCACGGGATACACGTACGCTCTACACAGATATACAAAGTGTGTGTGTGTGTGCGCGCATGTGTACATGTGCGCGCGACCGTGCGTGGCCGTGCGGGCGTGCGGGCGCATGCAATGTATGTTGTGTACATGAATGAGATTGGGTTTGGTATGGCCTCGCACGCATCGGACTGAAAGCTGAGGGAAGGCTCTCGGACGAATGTACTTTTGCCGAGGGCTGTCAGGTCACATGCATTTGGTCCGCGCAGTCAGCTCACCGCCAGGTTTCATCTGCGGAATATGTGGCGTGGGGGGAGAAGGCGCACTTCCCAATTGGTGGCAGCGTGGCACAGCCTCACAATTCCTGAAAGGATCCTAAATTGTTGCTGAAATACATGGAAGCTGGGAGTATTGGCCTCATGGAGTGTGCGTCTTGCCTGCAACGAAACATTCAAGGACTTGCGTGTCAGCAAGGCTCCTGTTTCAGGATACCGAGTCTCGGTTGTCTGGAGCACCAAAGGATCGGCAGACTTGCAAACACTTGGCAGCTTTTGGGCCAGATGCGGGTGCTGACGCGGGAGCACGGGGTGCCCCTCATTGTGGACGACCGCTTGGACGTGGCTTTGGCCGTGGAGGCAGATGGGTCGGAGGCCCCGGCAGGAGCGAGGGTTCGAGCGAGGGTTTCAGCGCGTGCGGCCGTTTTTGAGGAAGCCAACAAGGAGTTGGATTTTGGGGTTGCCTGGGCTGCCATATTCAGATATTCAGATATTCGCATTGGGGGCACAGCCGGCAGTTCCCCTGGCGTGTTTGCGTTGTGGCAATGTGTCAGATCCACTTCATTGACAACTTTTTACCGTGTTTTGGGAAAGGTGCCTTTTATTGGGTCTCGAGTGAACACTTTGAGTGCTTCTCAAAATTCCTTTTGGGCCCGGGTTTCTCTTTGAACCACTATTTCGCTGGGGCAACGTTCATGTCACATGGACCCTCGCCGTTTCGACGAAGCCGGCGACTGTAGGCTCCATGTGGGAGGTGACGACCTGCCCTGGCACACGGCGCGGCGCCTGCTGGGGGATGACAGGAGCGACGGGGGTAGGTTGCCTCGGCCATGTGCCATCCGGAACGCGGCATGGGGCATGGCATTGACTGGGAGCTTTGGAGTCCGGAAGTTATGAATACACACACTGAATATAAAGAAATCAATGCAACCGTCACGCTAAACATACTCCTTATAACAAACAATAAAGTAGCTGAAGATCAGGCTGTTTTGGCTCCGACACCTGGGTCTTGCAAGCCCAGTCGCTCGTCAGCCATTTGGCTCACCGGGTGCTTTCATAGGGCGCCTCTGCCATTCTCGTGGCTGACACATGCGCGAACCACATGAGTTGCAGGGCTCAAAGAAGCTGGACCTATGCAATCTCTCCCCCACTCCTCCCCATCGGCCGCTTGCAGTTGCTTCTTCCAGGACCGTAGTTTGCAAGATGCCCGTTCCGGGTTCACAGTTTGACTCAACCCACATTGAAAAGGCAAGAGAGCGAGAGAGAGAGAGAGAGAGAGAGCGAGAGCGAGAGAGCGAGAGAGCGAGAGAGAGAGTGAGAGTCAAAACGACAGCGAGCGAGAGAAAGAGAGAGAGAGAGAGAGAGAGAGAGAGACCATCAGTGCGATGGTGGTGCTGCCTGTGCGGCGCAAGGAGCCCGCGTTTGCCCCCAGCCGTTGTGTCTGTCAGAATGCGGGTCTTTACGTTTGAAGCCATCCCCAGTCATGCCACAAGAACCGCAAGGGATGCTCTACAGCCATATTCTCTCACCCGAACAAGACATGTGTGTGATCAAATCCTTGACATCAGCTGACATTATAGCGATCTCAATTCTGATGCTTGCAGTCACCAGGATGACTTGACTGCGGCTGGTATTGAGGTGTGCACGCACACAAACACACATTATTCACACATGCGTTGTCGTTTGATTGACAACAGGTGCTTCGGTTTTGTCCTCCTAGAATACTAACAGGTATTTCGGCGGATCTCGCTCAATGAGCCAAGTTCCTCGGGCACTTTTTGCTTGCAAAAGTCTTTCAGTCATTCAGGGGCGGGGGGTTCTCGGTTTGCTTCGACATTGCTCTTCTTGCAACCACATATATATTTTCTACATTTGTGGGCTTAAGGCCCTTCTTCTTGTATTGTATACTCTCACAGCCATCAGCTAGGAGTGGGCAAAGAGCCATAGCTGCTTGTGCTTACAGAATTGAGATCAGGATATTGTCCGATGACACATCCTGAACTTCCTCAACATCCATTACTTCATGCATCCTTATCAGCTCTGAAATAGGGGAGGAGGACATAGAGAACCGCCCCCGGCACGGGCCACAGGGTCCGTGGGTCGTTCCGGCCGAGTCAGGAGTGCCAGGATGGAAGGTCCGCCGGAGCTCCTTGCTTTGGTGTGGCCTCCATGCAGGGCTGGCGCGAGGAGCAAAGTTTCCGGAACGCGAAGGGACAGAACGTGCATTTTGGCGTCTGGATCTTGGATGAGGCGGCAAGGGATTTTGGGCTTCGGCAGGCGAATGGACTTTTTGCTATGCTTGGGTCACGTGAGGAGATGGAAGACGCGCATCTGGCGCTGCCGGACTTTGACCCAGAGCGGGGGCTGAGCCTCTTCGGTGTCTTCGACGGGCACGGAGGCGGGCCTGTCTTGGCGGGAACAAGCTGCCGGCCTTCCGGCTTCGTGTGCGTCGGAAGTATTGAGCCCGTTTCTCCTTCCGTGCATGCTGCTTGCAAAGCGAGTCTTGCAGGAGGCTGTCATGTTTGGCACTTTGCAATATCCCGTTCACAAGCTGCGCAAGTGTTTGTTGTGAAGCGGCGGATTTTTTGCAGCTTGGGCTGGTGCCACATTTTGGTGCCATGAGTTTCCGCGTGAACGTGCGAAGCTTGGTTTGCTGGCTGCTTCTTGGCAAAACCCAGCTGTCAATGCCTCTTCTTCCTTGCCCGTGCTTATGATCTGTGGGGTCGAATCACCTGGTCGCTTCAACTGAGCAGGTTGCTTCTTGATCACTGTTGTACTACGATTAACCTAAGGACTGTTATGCACGGAACCTTGACGCCCTGTACAAACACAGTGACACTGGCCTCTTCCAAGTTAATTGTTTTGCACAGAACAGGAATTTGATCCTCTTTTGCCGCTGTTGTCCAAGGTATTGGTGCTGTCTGGAGTTCTTTCCGTCTCGCCATGGCCTTTCCTTATTTGACAGCCTCATGTTAATGTTTGCTCACAGAGCCAGCGCGCGTGATATCTCCAGCCCGCCTTAGCCTTGAACCTCGAGGCTAGGGCTGGTCCTGATGAAATCGAGTTACTGGCTTGCATCCAAGACGCGTCTTTACACCCCGCAGGGGAGGTGGTGGCGCAGCTTGTCAGTGAGCGCCTGCCGGAGACGCTGCGGGGGCTGCCGGAGTACCGCGCCGGGCGCTTTCAGGCCTGGGTTCGGGTTGTGCGTACGCATCTCAAAGCGGCATTAGTATTTGCAGCCGACTGACCAACCGAATGCCCGGTTTGCACCAATGGTACTGAAACAGTCTTTGGACTGCTTGCAAGGGAGCGCTTATTGAACCTCACGGCCGGTCGTTTTCCGAGCCAGGGTGAGGCCCCTCTCTTTTTCTGATCGAAGTATGCTCAGAGCCCGTAGGTTCCTTGGATTGGCCTGTATCATTACTTTCATGCTTGATCATTACATTTTTCATGAGAAGTTGATCCATTGATCTGACCATTAACTTGCCGTTATCATTACTTTCATGATTTCTCATGATGTTTCTTCATTGTTTTTGCCATGAAGTGAACTGCGCGTTGGCCAGTTGTGTGGCCCCTATTGCCCCCCTGCGTCGTGCAGGAGGCGCTCTTCAAGGCCTTCATGGCGCAGGAGTCATCGGGGGCTTGGGAGCCGGGCTCAGAGTACCGGAGGCTCGGTCCGAAAGTTACCAGCTTCGTCTCTATATATATATATATTATATATATATTATATATATATATATGTATGTTATCATCTCGGGAGCTGCGACTCTCTACACCAACCAGGGCATTTGTTTGTGAGCGCGCCCGGATGTGTGTGAAGCTGTCGGGGACCGCTCAATAGATAGCTCCTTCCCAGAGGCCAGCTGCCAGAAAGTGGTGCTTTGCTCTTGTCGGCATTGGCCGCTTTTCTTTGTTCCTCTTCATCTCAGCCATGTCCTGAGCAACCTAAAGACAGTCCTAGAGCCCCAGCTTCAGGGGCTCGGAGGAGGCTCCCCACACAAACACCCAACCCAATTGGATCGCCCGGAGACGCCGCAGGATGACTACCTGCGGAGCCCCGAGGGCCGCAGGATGTTGGCCAAGCGCAAAGCGAACGCCATGGGCATGGGCAGCACCGCTGCCGGGGGTCTTGGGTTTTTATTTCTCCACGGGTGGCTTAAAACATCACCTTTTTGGGCCAGTTGAAAGCGAGTTCCCTTATGCAAGCTGATGTTTTAAGAGGACACAGGGCGATCATGACAATTGATCAAGCGCACCACACTGCCTTCGACCCACAGCTAATATAATGCATATATATATATATATATGTATATATTTATATATATATATTAATGTTTCTTACACACGCATATGGAGAGCAGAAACAAAATCCATAGAACTGCGCAATCAGTTTTAATGCTCCGAGGGCCGCAGGGGTGCACCCAAAGAGGGAAGAACGGAGAGAGAGGGCCCTCCAGCAGGTGCAGATGTGATCGGAGATCGCCACACCCTTGCTGGAGTCGTTTTTCCGTGGCAATCCATAATGTCCACTTGCTCGTTTTGGGAAGAGAGGACTGGAGTTGCGGACCCTTTGCATCGCTCGGGGGTGGGAGCTGCAGGTCGTGGCGCTGCTGAACGCCTCGAAACGCGAGCTCTTTGTCGCTAACTGCGGGGACTCGCGGGCGGTGCTGGTGAGCGGCAAAGGGGCGGTGGCCATGTGGGGAGCCTCGGAGGTCTCACGCGGCTTGGGGCGTGATCGGGGTGCAGATGCTTTCCAAATTTGCTGATTGTTGTGTTGTTGTTCACAGGGATGGCTTGGACAAGCGCTCCCGAAAGAATTGAATGCCCGAGCTCAAGGCCACAAGCTTGCACTGGATTTGCGTTACACTTTGCCGATGGCAAGCCGGCAAACACTCGTGGCATCCCTTTCTTATGTTATGGTCGCTCCCAGCAGCTCCTTCCCCAGATCTTTGGTTTCCTGGAGGCACCTCACCGTTCAATTTCACGTGAGCGTGGCTTTCCATGGTTCCGACAGCTGGCACGTCGCACAGTCTCTTGAACTTCAAGGCTCCAGTGGTTTGCCTGAGAGTCTTACGAAATATCAAAGACAGGGCAGCTATGAGCTGCGCAAAGCTGATAATGGGGCATGACAGGATTCCGTTCAGCATGTCGCACCGCAACTCGATGAGACATACGCATGAAGTGCTGCATTGACTCTTTCAGAAGCTCAAAGCGGTGCAAGTTTATGGCTATGCCTAGCTCATGGCAGACATTGGGTCCTCAACATGCCATGCCAAGCCACCCCATGCAAACCACGTTGCATCCATCAGCCTGCCTCCCACTGATCTTGCCATGGCGGCTTCTCCGCACAAGCCCCGGGTGCTGCTGATCTTGCGCCCAGACTGCATCGGAGCCGGGAGGCGTGCAACAGGATGTTTTGGCTGGCCATGGACATGGATGCAAAGGAATGCCCCTGATTTTTGCTCGTGGTGGCAGAGATTGGATTCTGCCTTGAAAAATCATCTCGTTTGGACGCATCCCATGGTTGTTTTGCGAATGTTAATGGCATTGCTTTCGTTGCGAGTGACGCACTTGGCTCAGACTGAGGTTGGATGGGTGCCGGCCTGATGAAGCTTGGCCAGATGGGACAGTCGGGGGAGAACAATTGAAGGCCAGCTTTGAGAGCATCGCTTTGCATGCTTTTGCGATTGCCGACAGCTCTCGACCTGTTATTCCAAGACATTCCAAGGCCCCAGCTCATAGTGTACTTGTTCTTGGAGTCATAACATCGCAGCACCGTGCCATACCGTCTTGCAGTCATAATTACCTTCAAATTGTCATTACATCATACTGTCATAGAGTCGTGCCATTGCGCCATTGGAGCAACTGGGGACAGCCAGCCGCAAGCCATGTACTGTTCGCCGTTCGGCGTTTATTAATTTGGCGAGACACTATTCCTAGAAAGATGGACCTGCATCAGGCATCACGAAGAAGCATCCATTTCCAGTACCCAAGCAACACGCAACTGCTTCGAAAGAAAACACTCCACACACACGAGCTCCGCGCAATCCTGCATTGCCATTGGAAGATACTGTTGGAGCCGCTGCTTTCTTTTTTGGAGGCCAGCGAGCAGTGGAGCAAAGCTTTTTTTCGGCACCATGATATTTGATCGCCCTTCCGCAAGACACCATTGTCAAGCTGTCCCTTGTCTTAGCTCAACCGCACGCCACCCAAAATGCCCATACCGCCCGGTGCACGCGACAAGCCGATGCCGAGGCCCTGGTGGCCGGTGCACCGCGGCTGCGGGCCGTGCTGCAGGGACAGGCGACGTGAGAGCATCGCTGGAGGCTGCAATGGTCGACGGCTCTGATACAGCTGCTGAAGTTTTGAGGTTGTTTCGCAGCTCTCCAGCCGACACGGAGGCTGAACACGACGAGTTGTTGCGAGCGCTGTGCAAGGTGCATCCCGAAGGCGAAAGCCGCTGGGGTGCAATAGAGGCCGAGTTCAAGCGCTGTGCTATGCGCCCACGTTCTCGAGCTTGGTTGCAGAAGCGCAGTCGCAAACTTGCGGCACAGCCATCGGACAATCAAGTCCGGGAGGGGAGCGTTTCTGGTCAGCGACAGGATGTGGCTCCATCTCACTTGGGCGGGCATCTGACTCCGCCCTGGCTGGGAGCATCAGGTTGTTCATCCCGTGCTGATGGCGATCTCGGTGGCTTCAAGGAGTCTTTGAGGGATTTGGTCACAAACAATTCGCTTGGAGAGATTTCCGGGCTAGGTTCCATTGGCTCTGGCCAGCTGAGTGCTATGCATTTCGTCGCTTTCGTAGACTTTGCTCGAAGTATGATTCGATGGAGTTCCGAGGCAGACGCCGACAAGTGTGCCGGCAACTTTGTTCTTAACATGATTGGGAAGGAGTTAGACGGAAAGCTCGTGCTTGCTACATTGAAGAAACGTTTGGAGGACTACTACGCAGGTTTTCGCTTCTATTGTGATCGTGCGACTTTGGAGCGTGTTCTGAGCCTGAGGACTGCCGATGACTATATTCACATAATGCGTAGGCTTCGGGAGGGTTGCGTGCGGAGCCTGCAGTGCTTTCAAGAAAGATTTGCAATGCAAATGCGAGAAGGGGTGAACGTCCGGGTGAAGAAGTCTGCTGGACGTGATGCCGCTAGTGATGCTCGGGAATAGGCGACCACTTTCGATGGGCCGCACATCTCGGTTTTCTGCAAAATGGCTTCATGATGAAATCTTGCATCTTGCTGTTGGAGGTTCTGTGTACGGGCGTAACATGGTCAAATACGAGGTCAACGAAATGGACAACCGTGTTTATGCATCTTGGCTTGCTTCGGACATCTTACCAACTATGTCTGTTGATGACGGACCGGAAGTGAGCAAGTGGCAAGTGGTGCTTCATTGGGAATTGCTGCTGATCTCAAGCCTTGAAATTGTTGACGATGTCGTCATTTTCAATGTCGCTGACGGTTTCGATATCGCCCCTTGGATGCGGGGCTTCGCCGAGCTGGATTTAGAGTCGTTTTTGGAGAATCCTGGTGTGGATGTCGATCGTCGCTTGGCTCGGTTTATGTTCTTTAAGGAGTGGGCCTTCATGCAGTGGGCGCACGCAATGGACGGAAGGCAGCAAGAGTCCTCGCCTGCCGAACCACGAGAATCTGCCGACGATGCTTTCGACGTGGGAGCGGAACCTGAAGTGATCACAGTGGGCTCGCATGTTTGCATTCGCCAGCTCGATGAGCACAGCTCGACGGCAATGCGAGGATTGCAGAAGGGGATGAGAGGTATTGTTGTTGCAGCTCAGGGCGACCGCTGGCAGGTGAAGTTTGCCAACAGGGCCGAGGCGGTCTGCTTCCAAGGTGCGTCCTTGTCACTCGCAAAGGGAGTTCCTCATCATGACGTTTGTCACGTATGTGGTGAGCATGGCACGCTTCGGTGCACTGGTTGCAAGGTCGTTCTCTATTGTGGCCCCGCATGCCAGCAGGCCGACTGGGCCGCGCATGAAGCGTTTTGCAAGGCTGTTCAAGGTGGGGGCACACTCAACATGGGTTTCGAGCTCCGAGCGAGAGCCAATCAGTCAAGTAAGAGTAGGTCTACTGGATCGCTGCCGTCTTTGGTTGACAGTTGCTCGGTGGATTCTCGATTGCTTGTCGAGCAAGAGGTAAAGCTCTGCGAGGCACGCAAAATGCAGAGGCTTGGCGCAGGAGTGAGCCTCTCCGAGCAAGTACTCGCTGGACAGGATCGCCGAGCTCTTCTGGAGACCGCAAAGGCTTGTAGGCATGCAGCAGAGCTATTCTTTCGCCAAGACGTCACAGAATCGGATCCAGAGCTTCCGCACATCATTGACAAGGTGTCGACATGCAAGGATATTTCCTCACGGCTACGCGGTGTCGTGAAAGATGTTGAAGCATGTTTGCTACCAGGTGCTGTGGCATCGCTGCGCGCGGCGATTTGTTTGAGGTTCGCAGATTTTGCCGAAGCTGAGCGAGAGGCATCTGTGGCCGTGTCTCATCTCGGATCAGTGCGTGTAGCAGTCCGGTCACCCGCTCGCAGGGCCGAAGTCAATTTGCTGCTCGCAGAGGCATTCATTCGTCAGGGGCTGGCCCTGAAGTCGTTGGATCGGGAGGCCGATGCTGCAAAGGCTGTGGTGTTGGCGCTGTCCCGCTCGCCAGATGTTCATTTGCCTGGTCTGGAGCTGCTCTTGCCGCTTGTCGGTAGCACTGCTGTAGAAGCCAGCAGCGAGATGGGGCAATGTGATCGTTGCCTAGAGCTCGTTGAACGGCAGCAGATGAAGATTCATAGACGTAAGTCTTGCACGGAGCGTGACATAAAATGCCCCGAGTGCATGGTTGGCTTGCGCATCTCAATGATGATCATCTCTCGGAATCTTGCGAGGCTTCAATCGCTTGCTCGCTGTGCGACTTGGTTCCTCGGGGGGAGATGGATAGCGGAAGCGAGTGTCGGATGCGTGTCGTGACTCAGAGCTCTGGCTGTGATTGGGAGGACTTGGCGGAATTGCTCCCCGGACATGAGCAACGTTGCCTGTACGGTCTCGAGAGTTGCCCGCTCTGCTTGGAGGAGGCTTCAACCAAAAGTATGACGAGCCATTTGTGCACTCTAGTTCGAGATGATGATCAATGCATTTGTTGTGTGCAACCTTTCCATGATCTTCGAAGGAGCTCGCATCTCTTGATGCCGGCAATTTTGCTGTATGGCAACAGGCGGTCATGTCAGCATACTTCGATGTGCATGGCATGTGCTGCAAAGTATCGGCAGACATCGAAAGAGAACCAAGGCGCGGAGCACCCTGCTTGTCCTTTTTGCCGCAAGCCGTTCGATGCAATAGCCCCGCTTCCGCCAGAGTTGCTGCATGTCAGCTCTGAGAAGCCGCTGCAGATTGTGCGAGCACCTCTGCCGCAAGAGGGAGATTGTCCAGCGGGCTCGTTGCATTGGGTGTCTCCTCTAGAAGTCCACTTCACACAATCGGACATCATAGACAGGTTTAAGGCTACGGAGCGTGCGTTCGGCTGGCGGCGGCCGCAGATCCTGGACACTCTTGCGCAACTGATTGCCGGAGAGGAGCCGCCCGAGCTTGAGCTTCTAGATGTCGTTGTGCATGATGGTCGTCTTTTTCTTGCGGGATCTGGTAATCGACGTCTCTGTATGTGGCGTTTGCTTGCCATCTTTCGCCCCGAGACATGGGGAATGATGAAAGTACGAATGCGTGACTGGAATGATGCTCGTCTGAATTGGAGTTTCTACTTCTCTACAACATGCGGTGGTGATTGGATTGAAATCCAGCATGGGCGGTTCGTCGGAAAGTCTCGCGACGGAGATCGCGACCAGGGCGATCCAGGAGTTGTTTGGGACGAAGCTCGGAATATCCTCGGTTAAGACATGAACCATACTCTTGGAGCCGGTTGCTGCACGAGCACAGCCATGTCAAGGAAACAAATGCGCCACAGAGTTTGACTCCTGGTCATTTGTGAGCCACTACTCGAGACAAGTCAGCGGCGACAGTTTGCTTGCTATTCCTTCGTGGTGTTATCATGTAGCAGTTGTGCAACGGCCCCATGTTTGGTCTTATTGTCTGTGAGTGTGGTAGAACTTGTATTTGCTTGGCTCTGGCACATTGGGTAACTCGCATCGTTGATTTTTAGCTTCTCAGTCAGTCTGCCCATACTTTAGATTGCATCCCAATCTTTCGTTAAGACTTCACTACCTTCGCCCGAAAGGAACAAAAGGATACAAAAGGCACCATAGATCTTGAATAATATTTCGAACGAGAGCGAGAGAGGGGGGTCTCCATGATTGCTCTTTCTGGTGCAGGTGACTTGGCCCGGCCTGGGAGGGCTTGCTTGAGTGGTCCCCAAGCGGCCCTTTTGCCCTCGCCAGTGGCCCGGGCTATGAGCTGCTCAAAGCTGACTATGGGGGATGACTCCAGGATTTCGTTCAGCATGTCGCACCGCACTCGATGAGACATACGCATGAAGTGCAGAATTGACGCTTTCAGAAGCTCAAAGCGGTGCAAGTTTATGGCTATGCTTAGCTCATGGCAGACATTGGGTCCCCTTCCTGGGCACTCGGATTCCAGCACCCAACAGAGGCCCATGCCAAGCCACCAGCCACCCCATCAGCCTGCCTCCCACTGATTTTGCCATGGCGGCTCCTCCGCACAAGCCCCGGGTGCTGCTGATCTTGCGCCCAGACTGCATCGGAGCCGGGAGGCGTGCAACAGGTTGTTTTGGCTGGCCATGGACATGGATGCAAAGAAATGCCCTTGATTTTTGCTCGTGGTGGCAGAGATTGGATTCTGCTTTGAAAATCGTCTCGTTTGGACGCATCCCATGTTTTTTTTTGGGTTTTTGTTTTTGCAAATGTTAATGGCATTGCTTTCGTTGCGTGTGACGCACTTGGCTCAGACTGAGGTTGGATGGGTGCCGGCCTGATGAAGCTTGGCCAGATGGAACAGTCGGGGGAGAACAATTGAAGGCCAGCTTTGAGAGCATCGCTTTGCATGCTTTTGCGATTGCCGACAGCTCTCGACCTGTTATTCCAAGACATTCCAAGGCCCCAGCGCTCATAGTGTACTTGTTCTTGGAGTCATAACATCGCAGCACCGTGCCATACCGTCTTGCAGTCATAATTACCTTCAAATTGTCATTACATCATACTGTCATAGAGTCGTGCCATTGCGCCATTGGAACAACTGGGGACAGCCAGCCGCAAGCCATGTGCTGTTCGCCGTTCGGCGTTTATTAATTTGGCGAGACACTATTCCTAGAAAGATGGATCTGCATCAGGCATCACACTTAGCAATGAGGAATCCCGAAGAAGCATCCATTTGCCCTGCTCGAGCAACACGCAACTAGTTCGCACACTGTGAACAACACACACGCACACACACCTTTGCCATTGGACGAGAATGTCAGATTGCTTTCTTTGCGTTGGATGGAGATGCAAGATTGCTTGAGCCGCTGCTTTCTTTTTTGCAGGCCAGCGAGCAGTGGAGCAAAGCTTTTTCCGGCACCTTGATACTTGATCGGCCTTCTGCAAGACACCATTGTCAAGTTGGCACTTTACGCCCGGCCCTTGTCTTAGCTCAACCGGCCACCCAAAATGCCCATACCGCCCGGGGCACGCGACAAGCCGATGCCGAGGCCCTGGTGGCCGGTGCACCGCGGGTGCGGGCCATGCTGCAGGGCCGACAGGCCCCGCCCCGCCCAAAGCTTCGGTCCCAAGGTCCGAAGTGTGCGAAAGCTTGCAGCTTTGCGGCAACTCTTGCGACTTTTCCTCGTCAAAAGCAGACGTAATCGGATTCAACCCACGAAACAGCAGATGTACACGACCCTTTTCGGGGGTTGTCTCGCCTTTCCGTGGCCCAGGGGCGCTGTGCCTTCTCCCTGCACTGCAAGACAGGCGCCGGCGTCCATGAGTCACCCAAAGGGGACCAGGTGTTTGCGCCTTTCAGCAGCTTGAATGTTCTTTCGCCAGAGGACAAATCCAGATGCCGTTGGCAAGCTTTGCTCAGTTGCAGTTGACAAAGCAAACGTTGCAGTTGACAAAGCAAACATCACAGAATCCAGCGACTGGAATTTCTACAGGAACGCGGCCAAATACCAATCAAAGACAAGGGTGTCCTGTAGAGTTTCCTGCTGGTAAGGTTTCACAACAGCCTTGTGAGTTTGATTTTGTCTGCAAGGATCGTCAGGCCCACCTTTTTTCAAAACACGCGTTGGCTTCTGTCGACAACCCACTACATGAGTGCTGGAATGTGAAACATGGACACAGTGCACACTACATGAAGCTCCGAGTTCAACGCTGCGTCGGACACTACATTGAACAGTGCGCACACCATGTGTTAACACAAGGATGTCTCGGGTATTTACACCAATACATCTCAAACACAATCTTGAGTTGCTAGGAGTTCGCAGGAATTGACAGTGACCCCGAAGTGGGTGGTACTAATCATGGTTTCTTCCCAACGCCCCCCCCCCCCCCAAAAAAAAAAAAAAAAGAAGAAGAAGAAAGAACCGTACCGTGCCCTCGAAACCAGTCAGACAATACCCAAATTGATCTTCAGTGTCCTGAGAGTATAGTAGAGAGTACAACTCTAGGGAATACCAAGGCTTGGGCCCCGGGCTTGGGTGCTTCCTCTCGCACCCACCTGACAAATCACAACGCTGCACCCAAGCCGATTTTAGGTGCTGAAAAAGGCATTGATGCCCCCATCCCCCTTTTCATTGTTGGTGACATGAGAGGACTTCGTTTGGACCTTTGGTTCTGGCATTCGCCCGCAGTGTGAGATGTAGCAGGAGGCTTGAATTGGTTGCCTGCTTTGGCAGCTCAATTGGAACCTTTTGATGAGTCCTTCGAAGCACAACATTCTTGATCGAAGGCACTTCTCAACCACAACTGCACACTGATGTCTTTTGGTTTCCATTCAATCTGCTCATTGTCTCGGCATTTGAGCCAGTCTGGAAAATGTGAGCACCCGACTTTGTACCATGAGGTCTTGACCTTTCAGAATGAGGTTGCCTTCCAACCTAAGAAACTAGCATTTCGGAACAGCCTCGCGCTTTCTACACTTCTCGCCAAACCGGGGCAATATTTGTTCTAACAACCAGCCTGGGCCGCTTCAAAAGGAACCCAAAAGAGGATTCAAACCGTATTTTTGTGGGGGGGCCAACCGTGGTGCAGACCACCCACCGGTGCCTGGTGCCCCCCATTCGCTCGCGCGCTCGCGGCAGATCCGGTGCCCATCTCTGGGCCGTCCTGGGCCACACTGCTCACGGGCCAGCGCTCGGAGAAGCACGGCATCACCAGCAACGACCTGGCGCCTCGTCGAAGGAATGCCCCTCATGTCTCAGATACCCAGGTTGCTTCAATCAATTCTTTGATAGAGAACACTTTAAAGTCAACTACCAACAAGGGCGCTCCTTTTTTCACCTGCCTCGGAGTGGGATCTGGCATCGAAAAGGGTGTTGTTGTTACCAATTTCCTGATGTGAAGGTCTTAAGATTTGAGCATGGTCGTTTATGTGGGCAAGGGGGAGGGAATTGAGGGGATGAGCGTGGGCGTGTGGCGATGGATCCCCAACGGAGGGTTGCCAAGAATCACAGAATCAGCATCTTCCAGTACTTTTCAATTTTTACGTCCAAGCACGTGGGAGCATGGTTTTGCTGGCTCTCATCTCAGGATTCACTGCTGACCATCGACTCTGAAGGAAGGGTGCTTGTGCAGCTCAGCAGCATTTGAAAGCTCCGCGACTGCCAGACAACTGGCTCCGTGAGGCAAGGGTCCCACAATTTCAGTGGCAAGCGTGCACTGGCGGCAACTTGTGTCGCGGGGGTTTCTTTGCTGCCGCAGAAAACCTCCGCCATGAGGGCCATGAGGCGGCGCGCGCGCGCGCGTTTGAGGCAGCCCTCCGAGTGCCTCTGCAGCCCGGTTCAGTCGGGCTGCTTCCTGGGCGCCTTCAGCCAGGTCCGCAGGCCCAAGTCGTTGGCATGGAATTTGTTGGGATCTGTCGACAATTCAAATAACCCCACAGTCAGGGCCTTGGAATTGCCCAGATTTCTGCACCCCATTCGAGCTTGAACTCCCTGCCACCGAAGCCATTGTTTTGGGGGTAGGTGCCCCACACACCCCATCCACGTGATGAAGGTAGCATAAAGAAGTCCACTCCACCCACTTGGGTTAAGGAGCTTGCGCCCATCCAAGCTTCCACTGCACTTGGCTCAAGACATTGCCTTTCTTCAAGCGAGCAGCAGCCCGGCGCTTCTCTGGCCATGGTTCATGAGGGCGTGCAAGCCATTGACTCGCGCTTGGCCGCCCGTGTGGAGCTCGTGGATGGTCTGGACCTACACCTTGTCATGATCGATGCAGCCAAGGCTCAAGATGAGTTCTACATCATTCAAGGTCTCGTGGATCCCAAGACAACCTCGGCGGAGCGCTTCTACTGCTACCGCCACTGGGGTGCCACTGGCACTTCAGGCCGGGGGAAGCTGGATGGGCCAAGCTCCGAGGAGGACATGCGCTCCTTGGTGGCGAAGACCTTTGCTGAGAAGACCGGCGTGCAGCTGGGGAGCCTCCAGCCGGGCGACCGCGTGGCAGATGGGAAGTACTGGCTCTGTCCGGCGGAAAAGCCCGGGGCGCCCGTTCAGTGGCAGTACTATGTCGGCGACGGCATAGATGGCAAGCGCCGCGGCTGGCACCCCTATGAGGAAGAGGCCTCTGCAGAAATGGAGCGGCTCTACACACAGCACATGTCCAATGAGAAGGAGAGCCGCACAGCCAACCGAGTGGTTGCCTCAGGGTGCTTTTCCTACAAGGTGGATTTGGTCGGCATGACTCAAGAGAACACAAAGACGGGCAAGGTCCGTGAGATCCGAAGGGGCGGAGAACTCCTCAAAGTGGCGAAAAAGAAAAGGCCCACGAAGCCAACCACCGCCAAGGCAGCCAAGGCAGCCAAGGCTGCCAAGGCTGCCAAGGCTGCAAAGCCGAAAGCCGTGGCCAAAAGGGTAAAGAAGACCTGCACCAAGTCGGCGCCCAAAAAACGCCCTACCAAGCCGATGACATCGGCAAAGAAGGCGACCACGGTCATGAAGATCTTGAAGTCCACGACCGTTGCCAAGGGGCCGCGGGCCAAGTCTCAAGTGTGGCGCGGCAAAAAGACCAAGACCTCCACTGGTCTCAAGGTGGATGATATGAAGAAGAACATGAATGGCAAGTTGGTGAGCAAGAAAAAGTCAGAGGCCGGCAGGAAGGCCTTTGGCCGAGTGGCCTGCTGGATAGCCGCGTGCAAGCAGGCCAGAGCTGAGTTGGGCATCACTGGCTTTGTGGCAATCAAAAAAGGCACCGCCTTGTACAAGAAAGCCAAGGCGCTTTACCCCCACGCCAAGCCACATGTCCTTGACGCCTACTAAACCGTAGAGAAGCGCTTGTATTTTCCGGCTATCTCCTGCAGGGAGGCTGGCTGGATTTGCAGCATGTTCGGGAACTGATCTGTACAGATTGTGCTTGATTGAATGTTACGGCAAACTGTATGAAAGACACAGTGCGCCTTTTGCCTTAGCTATGCGGAGCCACTTTCTGACAGGGCTTGTACAGGAAAAGGAATGGCTACAAGAACGTTTCGTGGCAGCGTGTCAATGCCGACCGAAACAGAAACATGGACGGCTCTGCATCCTTGTCCTTTGCTTGGTGTTTTGATGTTTCTTTTGCAAAACGCTGCCGTTTTGCAGGCGAAGCGCCGGCGGCGGGAGGCAGCTTTGCTGCCTCCGACTTTGTGGCTGGGCCTGCAGGGGGGGGGGGGGGGGGGGGGCAGGAGCTCCTGAGGTTGTTTATGGAGGTTCAGATTGGTGGATTTGCTTCCCAACCTGTGAATCCTTCAACATTTCTGCCAAGCCGAGAATGATGGGACCACATGATGGGTGACGTTCCATCACAGCTGAGGCACAAGTCTACCCAACACGGCAAGGCCAAGGCGTTCTGTTGACACTTACAGAGTTCTTTTGTCAGCGGAATCGCCTGCATTGAGGCTGCTTGAAGAACACCGCTTGAATCACACGATGATTTGCAGGATCTTGGCTAGCTTGCAATGGAGATTCCCAATATCCTGAGATTCCTCCGTCAATAAGCAGCCGGCATCGAGCATTGGTGGAAGGACCCGACTGGTATCTGAGAAAGTGCAAGGCCGCGTTCTTGTTTTGTTCAGCATATTGAGCGGAGCACTTTAACTGTGTTGCTAGTGTGGCCGGTCTGACGTTGAGTTTTCACAGGGAGAGTGTCTCAGATGAAGCATGCGAATTGTCAAATGCTTTCATTGAGGTTGGGTGCTGAGCAAATCCCAGTTGGATGATTCACTTGGAGGGAAGTCCACGGCCGCGGGCTGCCGGTGGGGCTGCGAATCCATGCACAGACCCAGTGGAATGGGGACCGCCACGTTGAAAGAACGAGGGTACATCGTCCAGAAAAACCTCTCCAACAACTGTTCGACCCGAATCTCCTGATTTTGCTTTGGGTTCGGCGCAAAGCGGCAACGCTAGTGTACCAGTCTATCCTTCCAAATCACTTTTAAAGTGAAAGCATCCGAAGGGAGGAATCGACATGTCTCACCATATCGCCATCCAAAGTCTCCGCTCTGATCCCGAGGTTCCACTTCCTGGCGGAGCGAAATCTGAAAGCGGAGCTGCTGAACGTGGGCTGGCCCGGGGTTCCGCAGCTCTGCGGTGGGCGGGAGCTGGCCAAGCACCTGCAGGCGGGGATGGGCTTAAGGCGAGCCTTAAGCCGAAGGTTTCCCCAGACACATTTCCTAGAGGTTCTCCTGTCCAGTCGTTTGAGGAAGGGCCGGAAGACGCGGGAAGGGGGTAGGCACTGGTTTTAGTTGTTCCCGCGTTGCTTTTTATTTGTTTCTTTCTTTCCTTCATTTTCCTTTGTTTCTTTGTTTGCTTGTTTGCTGGTTTCTTTGCGTATTTGCTTCTTTGTTTCTTTATTTTTGCTTTGCTTCGGCGCGCGCGCGCGGGTGTGTGTGTGTGTGTGTGTGTGTGTGTGTGTGTGTGTGTGTGTGTGTGTGTGTGTGTGTGTGTCTGTGTGTGTGTGTGTGTGTGTTTGCTTGTGTGTGCTTGTGCGTGCTTGTGTTGCTTGTGTCTGCTGGTGTTTGTTTGTCTGCTTGTGTGTCGTTTGTTTGTTTGCTTGCTTGCTTGCTTGCTTTTGCTTGTTTGTTTGTTTGTTTGTTTGTTTGTCTGCTTGCTTGCTTGCTTGCTTGTTTGTTTGTATGCTTGTTTGTTTGTATGTTTGTTTGTTTGTTTGTTTGTTTGTTTGTTTGTTTGTTTCACTGTTTGCCTGTTTGCCTGTCTGCTTGCTTGCTTGTTTGTTTGCTTCTTTCTTTGTTTGTTTGTGTGTTCGTTTGTTCGTTCGTTTGTTCCTGTTGTTATTTAGAATCAACGCTTGGATTGTTGAAATGGGGTGGGGGTGGGGTTTACATTCTTGGGTAGTCTATGGGGTTGAGACAGGTGTGAGAAGGCAACGGCAGGCTGTCCTGCATTCTGTATACGAAGTCACCACCAGCCTGCAAACAGAGAACAGATTCAGGCAAAAAGATAAGCCCTTGGTCATTTGGCCCCTGCTTGGCTTGGCAAGAGCGTCTTGAGGCTAACTTGAATGATTCTGTCAGTGGCCAGCGTAATGAGAAGGATCAAAGGAAACGTGGCAACGCGAGAGCTTTTCGCAAGGGAGCACATGAGGAATGCCTCCAATTGCCCATGTGTGTATATCACCCGATTGCAAGCACAGCATGGCAAGAAGTCAAGGTCAAGCCTTCCCGGCTTACTCCATGTCGGTAGATGCAAGCTGCATGTGAAAGATCTGAGCTGTGGTTTGATCGCTTTCGTAGCGCAGTCGGCAATCCTGAGGTTCGGCAGTTTGCAGACGAGGCGCAGCTGGCAAGTTTGCTGTTGATAGGCACGAAGACTCAGACTCGCTGATCCATGAGAGCTGCAACACATGTCAATAGCCACTTTCTGCGGAAAAAAAAACAAAAAAACAAAAACAAGAGAAACAACAATTAACGTGGCCGACGTGGTTTTAGTCGCCTTAGTCCCTCGGCCCATCTTGCCCCCTGCTGCTGTGATTTACGCTGCTCAGGCGCAGGAGCTGGACAAGGCCGTGGCTGAGATGCTGCAGCTGCTGGAGACCTCTGGGTGTTGGGGCAAGTTGTGGGGTGGGGGGGTGGTGGGAGGGGGGTGGGGGGGGAATACGGGGAATAGACTAGCGTAAAGTTTGGGAGAGCTAATGTGCCCAAGAGGGACTGTCCAGTTTCCCCTGCGAGAACGCACGCGCATGTAGTCGTTGACAATACAAGAGACGAAATGCCTTTTGGGGTGGGGTGCGGGGGGCTGGTCCCCGCTTGTTTGTGATATCATCGTGCTGCTTTCATTCTGTGGCTCTCAGTTCACACAAGCCGGAGTATACCATCAACATGAGCTTTGTAAGAGCTTGACGCTCAGTTGCTTTTTGGGCATGCTTACCTGTGTGGGTAAACTTGCAAATGTAAGTGCACTTTGCCCACTACGCCTGTACTGAATAGTTGCGACTTTCGAGCTGGAGCCAAGGAAGCGTACTTTGTGTTACGGCACAAGCATTGCTTTGCCGTCCGCGCGCCTTTGTTAACAGTGGAGCGTTTTGAACGAGCGGACACTACTTCAAGTGGTTGACAGCATTCTCAACGAGCCGGTCCGGGACCCTTTTTCCCGAGGCAGCGCACCAGAGCCCCGAAAAAACAGCTCATGCACATTCGCTGTGGACCTGGCAACCAGTGCCCGTTCCTGGTTGGCCCAGGAAAGCCCGAAACGTGTATTGAAGCCAGAATATCTCATGCTTATTTTGGGCCAGCTCAGCAAGGGTTCCGCCAGAGCGAGATTGCAGTACAGCCTTAATGCTCTGGATGGTCTCTGGCTCCATCGCTGAACGGCAGGAGAAAGGCCGAGAGGCTCCAGCCGCACCTTGCCAGCAGTTGGTATTTCTCGTAAACGCAACACTTGACCTGTTGGCTGCAGTACATTTAACCACTTCTTGGAATCGGTGACCAGGCATCGCTGCAACTGCAATTGCAAATGCCCCCCTCGTGTCGTCATAGGTTCGATCACTGATCCATGTGAAGGCAACCGTCCATGTCATCATCATCGTCAGCATCAATTTCACCCGTGCCCAGCTGCAGGTGCTTGCCCTGTACACCCACTGTGTGGACATGGCGGGCCACTTGCATGGCTTCTCACTAGACGTGCGCTGCGGTGGAGCTCAATCGGGTGGCATGGCCTTGTTTGCACAGGGCGAAACTTGAAGTTCTGCACGGATGACGCTGATTCCAACGCACCTGGCCTTGAATAACCCGGAAAGGGCAGCCAGCCACAATACGTGTTCAAGGCTCAGGATATCAGAACAGCTCTTGAGACCGAAGAAGTGAAGTAGTGCGGCCCCCCCCCGCGAGGCCCGCACCACATACACAACATTAGTGAAGAGCATGCCAAAAGGCCTCAACAACTCATGAATCGAACTGCTGGATCAACGGATGCCTTTGAAGGTGACCGCCAACCGTCAAGTTGGACAGCCATTTGGCGGGGCCATCCCCAGACGTGTGAGGTTCAGTCAAATTGCTCAGTCTATGTCCATGTAGCAAATTTGACCGTGGCACATGTGCTGTAAGAAACCTTCGAGAGCCTTGCACCTTGCCTGCAGGTACCTGAGTACATGCAGGCGATCGAGCACTTCGACACTTCCCTAGGCTCGGCAACCTCAAGGGAACGTTTAGTGTCAGGGCTCAGTGTAAACTGACCAACGATTGTTCTGACCCAAGCCAGATGTGCTTTCCACCATCTCAGGCTGCATTTGGACTGACATCCCCTCCAAATATACCCTCTACCTCTCCAAAATGACTGAAGCGGTGATGTAGGTCCAGAGTCAGAGCTGGCTCAGTAAGCGCAGTTGGCGTGGATCTACCTGCGGGGGACCCCAAGTAACAAATCCACGGCTGGGATTTTTCTCTCGACGCTTCGCCCTCGACTCAGGGCGGCTGCTGGATGGTTTGGGCCAGCGGGAGGGCGAGGATTGGCTGGTGGCCATCACCACAGACCACGGCGGAGGCGGAGACGTTCGCACGGCCCCGGAAATGGACATGGAAAATCTTTGGGGCCGATTTCGCTCCTGAGTTGGTCCAACATATGACACGAGGAAGACACCCATCTTGGAGGGTTTCTGTATTTGGAGGATGGAAGAATGGAACAGTACGCTGCCTTTCAGGCTAGCCGAAGTTTGTAGGGGAATCTAAAGCCAAAGTGACGCAGATGGCTCGCAACCTTGATGGCACATCTCTTGCGCATCATTTTCATTTAGGTTCGCAGGCGTGATTGTCTCTTCGGCGCGATCAGCCTGAATCCCTGAAGTCACGAAACGACATCCACAGTCGTGATTTCAAGAGAGCTCTTTTGGGAACTACGGGGAGGTCGATCACGCTCAATTCAGAATCGAAGCATTAAACTCCATGGCCAAGCGTGCAGTTAAGTTCAAGCCCCATACAAAGACAGACACAGGTTGAGATGGGCCGGGAGATCTGTAGAACCCCACCAACCGGCCAAGTGCAGCTTCCGCCAGGAGGAGTAGGCTGTACAGTTTTTAGCATCCGCCACGCCAGGTGCAGCCAAGGATATGTCCAAAGACATGTGGTCCCAGTTTGTGGAGGAGAGAGTGGGTTGGGCTGAAATGCAGCTTCGTTTGGTTGTTGGCTGCTTAGTTTGTTCGCCGCCCTGCTTAGTTTGTGGGTTCGCAGCCCGGCAAAAACGGCTCGAGTTGCAGCGGCAAGTCGGAACAAAGAAGACCAATGCTTGCGCACCTGTGATTTGCCTCTTTCACCAGCAGCGATTCGAACATCTTGCAGTTGGGGCGGCCTTCAGGCTGGTTCAAGGGTCCGGGAAGTTCCAGCAAGGTTGGAAGTTCTTGGGAAACAATAATAACTCTTGTTCCGCGCTCTTGGGGATACGCATGGGCTTCTGCCGGGGAAAGTTGCTGGGGCGCGTCAAATGCATGCGAATGTTTGATGTTTTGCTGTGGGCTGTGATGAGAGCTCTGTAGCAAAGCTGAAGCTTTTGCTTCCGTCGCTTCGGTCTTCAATGGCATTTGAGGGAAGTTGAGCGCTCTGGAACAGTTTCAGTTGGAGCCTGAGGACTGCAAATGCCTGCACAAGGGCCTCTCTCAGGCAGGTTGCCAAGGAGTACATGGGCTGCAGGAGCTGGCCATTCACTCCACTCGGCTTCCCGGTGGCAAGCGGAGTCTCCATGTCGGGTATGCGAACATTTTGCGCGTTGCGATCAACTCGTGGGTGCTATATTGAGCGAGCGTCACGCGCGAAATGAGGAGCGTGTTTGTCGAATTGCGTTTGATACGGTGGCAGCCAGAATGATGCTGCTCCGGGACGGTGCAATTGGTTGGGTGCTAATCCGCTAATTCTTCACTTTTGCCAGTGCACTGTCAGATCAGGAAAACAGGTATGCAGCCATCGAGTCGAGCGGAAGACCCTTTTGCAAAGCCATGGCACAGCACTCGCGAGCAAGCGATGCGTATTGTGTTTCTACAAGACCTGCACCTTGGTTCATCAGACAGCCCAAACCTGGCAAGCCCCCAGTAGAAGTCCGCATTTTGAGAGGTGCACCTAAGCTTACGGGTTCTGTTGGGTGTCAATACCGTTCCTCGGGGTCCTAGCTGGATTGTGTGACTTGAGCTGATCCCAGCAGGCCAAACTTTCAGCGCCTTCCTGAGGTTTGTCATCCTCACCGGGTCCAATGTCAGGCCGGAGTGTTTCGTTCAGGTCTGCGCAAGTTGTACCACGCCAGTTGATAAGCGAGGCCTGGACAATTTCATCAAGCATTGCCACCGTAAGTCTAACAATTAACTGAATTCTTGCCTACGCTGGCCTTTGGCGTGCGGCTTTTGGGTGATCTACATTCCGGAATCCGGTCTTCGAGCGAGCGGAAAGCTTGACTGCTGCTCGGGGTGAGGTGTGGGTGCCGGTCACACACATAGCCCAGATTCATCCAAGGAATCCACCAGGCGTTTCTGCATCTGCCTCATCCTGCTTCTTCCCTGGAGAAAACCTGAGGTTTCCCCCCGCCTTTTCGCGGGAGAGTCTCCCCGATTCCGCACTTCCGCACTTCCGCAGGCCTGGGGAGATGACGCCTCCCCCAGAGTCTGTGGACCTGGTGCCGACTTTGCCCCCTGGCGCAAGAGCCAGGAAGTCACTGGCGACCCTTTGGGTGGTTTAAGGGAAGCCAAAGGGACAACGCCATCATTTTTTGGGGGGCCTTCCAAAAAGGGCAAGGGATCCCTGAGAACCTTCGGGGTCTTTCCAAGAGTCCAGCTACAAGCAAGACATGGATGCGTTTGCAGCCAAAGGAAGAAAAGGTGAGAGGCTGACGAGGTTTGAGGGAAACCATGACCCCACTTTTTGATAAGCAGAGGCACAATCACAAGGATAGCTTGATTGTTTCCGGGGCAGGATTCGATGCATTGCTTTATCACATCTCTGGCTTTTGATGACCCGTTTGAGACGGACACATTAGCGGAGTACTACAATGAGGCACACATTGACAGTCCCTGTTTGTTGGCCGTTTGATTGCGGCCTGCCTTTGAAGAATGAGGCTTGCACGCATGTCTTGTCACAGTTCCTTGCAGTGAGCATTTCTGGCATCCGTCTTCCAATGACACTCTCCTGAAATGAGAAGACACGACCATGTTTAGTGGGGCCAGTCAACCCTGAACGGTATGGTTCCAGTAAAAATCCGGAGCCGACCTTACCCCCTCCAGTGACCGTCGGGAAAAAGGCGCGCCTTAGTCGTTCATGTTAGAATAGGTCTCCACCATTTTCCCAGTCGGAGGCTGCGGCACCTCGCGGTGCCTTGCGGAGAGCTGCCGGGGAAAAGCCGTGGCCTGCGGAAGGATACGTGAGATCCGGGCGACTGAGAAATGCGGCCAGAGCGTGGCGAGGGACCGTTGTGGAGGGTCGGGAGAAGCAGACTGTGGGCCACGCTTTTGTGGGCTCTTGTGAAGAGTAAGAGACCCTGGCAACAAGCGGCACCGGCCCCAGCAACGATGCGACAGGATGGCTATGTTGACTCCATCCATTCGTCAAAAGGTTAACAGCCATCATCTCCAGGTGGCAGCTAGAGCAACCGGCTTTGGTTTTATTTGGGACGCCCCCGCAAAGCTGTTTGCTAGACGTATCATACATCACCATGTGGGGTTGTCTCTACAATTGGGAACCTCCCAAAATTCGCCGTTTCCCTTTGGTTTCCCTTCAGCGCCACCCCAAAACGGGCACCCAAGCGATGCCCACGGACCATGCCCGTGAGACTCAGGTCCCAGGATCACTCCCCCCTGCTGCCCGCAGAGCTGCAGCGCATCAGGCGGGCAATTCGCTAAGCGCATTCGCGAAACAACGGGAAACTGAACGTAACCACTCCCCTGAAACAACGGGGGGAAACATACCCCTGAAACATGGAATCGGGGGAGGGGTATGTTTCCATTTTCAATCGGAAAAGACTAGATAATTGGAATTGGGGGGCCCCCACCGTCGACCCTTAGGGTAGGGGTGATCCCCCAACAATGACCAATGCTAGGTTTGTCTGGATGCAGCAGTATCACTCCCAAAGGTGCCGCGAGATTCACCACTTGATGCTTTGTGGATGCTGGAGTTCCTGCACCGACCAAGAATGCTCTAATCGCCAGAGATGCTCTCAGGACTGTAGGCGGTGTAAGCCGGGCATGATGTCCACGGCCATCTTGTTTTGTGTAGGTCAGCGGTTCAATTTGCCCTCAGCATGGAAGATTTGCTTGATTGAGGCTCGTGACAAAGAATGTTTTGCCTACGACTCTTGGGATATTCATTCAGTGGCGACGATGAGTTGAAGAGCTTCTGGCTGTCATATTGTCGTGCAGCGACTCGTTGGCGGGTTGCCCATGGCCTTGGCTTTATATTGAGCATTCGTTCGGTTCGGGGAGTCCAAGAGCACGCTGTGCGGAGTGGCGGAGTGCACATGGTAAAGCCGGATGTTTGGAATCTTTTCGTGTCTGAACCTGGACATGCACTGCCTTAACAGCAGAGTGGTGCACGCGATGATGCTTGCGGATGGAAAGGGTTTCGTAGGGGGAAGGAGCGCATTGACCAGCCAAAATACACCGATATCTTCTGATTCCATGGATCCCTGGAGGCTTGTATTGGAACTCCATTGCTTCAGAACGAACCGTCGCATGCCGACAACGCCAAGAGGCAACAGAGAGCGACAGCGACTAAGATGGAACAAACTGTTGGTTTCATTGCGCGTTATGTCCAGTAGCCAAGCCCTGGGGCAACCGGAAGCAGGCAACTGCACCAATGTCTTAGCTAGAGCAACTGTGAAAAGCCAACGGCGACTGTTGCAATGGCTCTGGTGTTGCTCCCCGGGGTCAGCAAGATTTGGAGTACTGGTTGAGTATGTAGGTTGCTGGAATCAAGCTTGAGACGAGCTAGGCCAACCCTCCTCTGTGATGTGTTCATATTATTTCAAGTTTTCCTTTCCCTGCCTTTTGTTAGAAAGCTGTCCGGAGGCGAGCGGGTGGCACGGTGAACAGGCCAGGCGCAGAGCAGACGGGAATCTGACGTGAATGTTCCATGCTCTTCTGAATTCTTACACAAACATGACCCTTCATTTGCCTGAAACACATGCGGCTGGTTGCTTGGTGGGAAGTCGGATTCCGAGCGGAAGTCGGCGGCAGTTCAGACATATTGGTGACCTAAGATCAATTGTGTGCGGGGTCTACCTTCAAGGGAACGCAGCATGAAACCAGCTCTTGGAAGGTGTCCCTGGTTTTGACAGGTTCTCATTTCAGAAGGGATACCATTTATCATGTATAGAGGAGAGGTTTCACTTGTCTCAGCCTAGATGCCTCGATTCCCTCGAGGCATTCATTATATACAATGCTTGAGCTTTCATGGGCATGGTGAACTCTCAACACTCATTTCATGACATGTCGTGATGTGTGCGGCCATCATTGCTGAAAATTATTTTGCAGCTGTCATGACCCTCCAGCTTGTTGTGCACACTCGCGTTGTGGCAGCAGGGTAGACTTGCTCGGGTTTCAAGTGATGTTTCCTGCACTCAAATAGCGGCGGTGACTTCGATGGCTCTACATTGCACCAAAACAATATCCGGGCCTGGAGCGGGAATGTTTGGGGGGAGCCAGCGGAGAGGGTACTAGAGATGGGAAGCCTTGATGTTCCCTAACTTGGACCTCGTGCGGGGATGGTCTGGGATCTTTTCACAAGGCTGCGTTTGATGGTGTTGGCTCTGCATTCGGCAGGGAAGGGCGAGTGGATGGGAATCTCAACCTGTGCGGAACCTCGGACGGTGAGGGGCCTGTGGTTGGTCGCCTGATGAGTGGGGTCAAAGCGAGCTGGGCACAGGGATTGAAGGATGAGGGTTGACAGTTGGCGTCCCTCTCCCTGGATTCAGATTTTGGCCGAAGAATCAAACTACGGCAGACCTGTCACGATGGCGGGGTTGCCATGGCCCACGCGGCTGAAGGTCAAGAGCCATTGGCGATCTCTTTTACAAGAGGCCGGATAGCGGGAGGGGGACACGGGGGCCTGGTGGCAGTTGAGGCCATAGGCCATGAACTGGGAGGTCTTGGTCGTTGATATGTTGACATCCGAAAGAACTTGGGGAACTAAGCGAAATCCAAGTCCAAATCAAATTTTCCACAACTTCCAAGCACCACGTATCAGCTATACCACAAGCACACAGAATCCATTGACGGATTTTTCTGCTCAAATGACGGATGCGCAGTGTCTTGTAGCTTGCCAGTCACCTTCCCTGCTTACACAAACAGGTGTGACTGCCACGCTGCAGGGTGCAATAAACATGATGCAAGCCATGAAGGACGTTGTGGACTTCATAGAGAGGCATTATGATTTATTCCGACACACTCTGCCAGGCTCCCCTCGCAGCTCCTTTCAGTTCCTTGTGCTTGGTTCATACCCTGCACACAGTAGGATGGTGCAGATGGGCCTGCAGACTGCAATTCGATACAATGACATTGACATCTTTCACAAAGACCAGGACTTTGCGAGGTACATTGCTGGCAAGCCTCCCAAGCATCTCAGCACTGAAACGAGGCCGCAAAGAGCTCAAGGCAGTCCAGTATGTCCCGTTCAGAACCAATATGGACATCAACTACGTTTGCTTGAGCACCGCAGCTGACCTGAAGGCACGTGTTGCCGATGCGGACATCAATGGAGTTGCCATCGGTGTACTGGTGACATTGAATTTCAGCAACATGCGGCGTGAAGGTCTGGTGATTGAGTCAGCAGCCTTCAAGGAATTCTTGCAGACGCAAGCTTTGGCCATATGCGACTTTAGATCCCTCGTGAAGCCAAGGAATGCCCTGACCAGCTTGGTGCGGTTGCTGCACAAAGGCCAACAGTCAAATCTCATGGTTGTGCAACCGCCAGACACAGATATTGTTGACATGTGCCATGGTCGCGCAATTGGCCCTGAGCATGTGCAGATATATGGTGAGCTGCACCCCATGCAGAAACGAATCATCGATCATCTCTTTTACTCCCAACTTGAGACCGACGAAAAGACGAGCCAGACGCGATTGAGGTTCTTTTCTCGCAAAGCGCCTCAAGACCAAGATGATGTGCGGACCTTGTCAAGCTGTTACCTTGCCCTATCCTCGACGATTCACCAACAGTTCGGAGGGACTTGCTACGCCAATGCCGTTGCCACAGCTGTGCGTGCCACCGAAATGCGCATAGTTGGCAGGGTGCCCATGTCGCACAAACATATTGTGCAACAAATTGTTGCAAAGCACGGCACCAATGGTGGGAACACCTTTGAAGTGTTGAAGGAGGAGTGCTTCAAACGCCAGTTGGGGTGCGGTCGAGTGGAAATTGAAGATCTAGTTGAAGTTTTGCAAGCAAATCGTACCATGGTTGTTGCATTCCATTTTACCGAGGATGTGTGGCATGCATTCAGCAGCTTCTTTACGCAAAAGCCTACAAGTGTGCTAACCAGACAAGCAATTGAAGACTACCGGCCCGACTACAGCCTTCCCAGTCAGGAAAGCGGTCATGCAGTGTGCACGCGAGGCCTGCTTTATGCTCATGGCATTCCTTGCATTGAGATGAAGAACTCTTGGGGGCCAAATTTTGCTGATGGAGGCAACTTCAAAGTGGGACTAGATGTCGTGGTCGATCCTCGATTCAACTTCGAGTTGTTCGATGTCTTCTTCCGGGTCGCAGACCTACTTGAGGAAGACTTTCGGAGGTTTGAGCAAGAGCAAGACCGTATCCGCAGGATGAAGACTCAAATGCTTATTCGGGCCTATTGAGCCTCAAGGAGCTTCGGCATGCCGAAAGAAATAGGCACGGCTTGCCGCCTCCGTCGGCGCCTTATCCATTGGCCCGGCGCATGTCAGCCAGCCCGCGCAGGAACCGGGCGCTGGGTCCTGAAGCGCAGCTCATCACCGCGGTGCCCGAGGCGGGGGCGTTTTGGGGGTAACTTGGATCGCTTTGGCTATCTATAGAATCTATGGAGCTTTTAAAGAGGATGTGCAAAGGGCCAAGTCAAGCGCTTGAAATTGGAAGTACTTGAGCCTATCATAGGTTGTCCTGCGCATAGCCTTCTTATTCAAAAAGGGCCACCACATCAAGGTGTCTAGCGTCCTGGCGTGCTTCGAAGGATAGGGTCCTTGCTTTCACGGGAAGGCTTTTTCCAGCACAGGATGTCTGTCCCTTCTTGTCTGGAAGGTTTCCATTTTGCGCCGTAGGAGGCCTTCAGCCCTTTGTAGCCGTTCTTGACAAACAGCCACCGTTGCCACCGGGTTTTGGGTGGTTTTCCGGAAAGAATCGGGGGTCAGCCCTGGAACTTTGCGCCTCACCTGGGGCAGGTCCGGCGCAGAGCGCTGGGCGCTCACGACCGCGGGGACCACCAAGTGGGCGTCAGAGCGATTGACTCACGGGGAACATCCTCTTTCTTCTTTTTGTATTTTTTGTGTGGAGGGGGGGGGGGGCGGGGCCCGCAAGCAGAAAGCCACCAGACAAACAGCAAAGGTGCTTTCAAGGGTCCTGTTCTTCTAGCATGTACAAGTTCAACATGGTTGGTGGACGTAAATCCCCATGTAAATGATGCTCACCAAATTCATCCTGCTCAAGGGGATGTATGTGCTATTCCCTAACAGCTTCTGATTCACTGCGCCCATTGAGTGAAGAAGATGCCTTGTGGCACAGTTCCCCCTTCCAGAATTACACGCCCAGACGGAATGTGCTTCTTCATTCAACGGCCAACAGAGCCAATACATATGTGGCCCCCTGGTACTGCCCCTTATCAGAAGCCTTGGCTGCAGCCTGAAGATGCTTGATTGGGGCTGACTCACTCATGATTGGGGCCTTTGAGAAGAGATGTCAGAGATGCTTTGTGCTTTAGAGGGGAAGGCTGCATCGTGTATGCAAGTATCCTCTGCAGCAAAGGTCGTGTTGTACCCTGTCTTTCTCAGGTCCCAGTCTCGGTCGGCCGTTTTTTTCGGGCCAGGGTATCTGCTCCTGGGCTGCGACGGGGTCTGGGAGCGCTTCACCAACCAGCAGGTCGTAGACTTCTTGCTTCCGAGGCCTCCGGATCCGGGACGGAGTGCTTGGGACTGTGCCGAAGAGCTTCCGTCGCATCCAGTCTTGGGCTCCGACCCCAGGCTGCCAGCCGGGCGCCTGTCTGTGGCCTGCAGCGCCTTCCTGGACCGCGCGCCTCCCAGCGAGAGCCGCGTACATTTGTGCAGCGATCCCAAACCGCTCTTGGCCCCTATCTTGGTTTAGCCTAAAGTCGATGGGTTTTGGGCGCTCATTCCCCATGTTGGAGTTCCGCATGACGTGACCTTGGGACATTGACGCGTTTGGGCGAGTTGGGAGGCGGAGTGCCCTCGGGACCCTTGGATTCGATGCCAAGCCGAGGCTGAAGATGATCCACTTGAAGGAGTTTTAAACTAACAGCGCATGAGCAGCACCGACATCTATCAAACCATGGGACTTGCTTACCAACGCAGGGGCCGAAGTTAGATCTCATGTGCGGTTGGTAAACAAGGAAGATAGAGCTGCGATGCAAGTTGGCAATCCATTGTCCACCTACCATATTGTAGAAACCTACCATGGCATGTGGTTAGCTGACATGGACATGGGGTCATGTGTTGTTGACTGCTTATGGACGTGGAGGATGCCATTCCCCATTCAAGACTATGCAAAGTAAAGCCATCTTGAAATGATCATGGAGCTTGGACACTACCAGTTCCGCACTTGCGATTAGGGACTCTTCTGGAAAGTCTTCTCAGTGAGGAATGAGGTGGTGATTGCAAGGCGTGGCACATCTTTTGCAGAGGAGCGTCCACGGAAAGCCAGCGCAGGTGTGGACACCGGGCAGCAAATTCATGGCATCGTTCATCAACATATTTTGAAAGCCGCAAAAATAAGCAAGTGTTTGAGACTGGTTTGCCTTGGATATGCATACTGACGCAAGGCTTCAGTCAAAACCTGGTATTTTGTTTGTCATGAGCATCCGAAAATCCCCCTGCACCGGCTCTGAGGCGCTCTCTCCCGGAACCCGGAGAGGACCGGACGGCTTTGCGGGAGGGTTTGCGGCAAAATGATCCAGTCCAGGGACTTCAAGTCGAATTTTGCGGGCACAGGCCCTGCCACCTCAGCTTGTCTTCTGAGCGAATCTTTGGAGCAGCGGACACCCAGCATTTCTGAAGCGTTCAAGTCCTTCCATTTGGGATGCCAGGATGATTGACCCAGCCAGGCAGTCAAGCAGCGAGGCTTTCTGGTCATCTTTCAGTTTGATATATCTTAAGTCTTTAGCTGCATCAAGGGCTCTGCTCCTGAAGACCCAAAGATTGTTCTTGACCTGGATATATGGTTGAATCACTGCGATTTGGATGGATCCGGTTCCGTGTGCTGGCCAAGGTCCGTTTTGCTTTTGCTTCTCTGTTGCAGGTTGAGCTTTTTTTCAACCCCCTTCAAGAGTCAAAGACACTTAACGGTCCTGAAAAGGGGCAACCCAACCCACCCCTTGGAAGGACGAATGGCCTTGGCTGCGACAACATGACCTTGCTCTGCATTGAGCTTGCGGAAGGGCTGGAAGTGGTTGGCAGGCAAAGCGCAGAGCACCGGAGATCCTGAATGGGTTTATCAAAAAGTTCGGCCCTAAAAATGGCTTGTTGCTTTTAAAGATAAGCAAAGGCGGGTTCTCCCCCCAAAAAGGATACGAGTACCCAAGCGGTCAAGCCACCTGGTGATTTGAGCCCCGTGAGGAATGGGGCAGCACGCCTCCTCGCCAGGACTCCATCCCAGCTCTTAAAGGGGAAGCTTGAAAGCCGGCCTCTCTTGAGGCGTTCAGAGGATAAGGGACATGAATGCAGACACGTACCACCGACAACGCCAAGCGTCTCGAAAAACGTGCCATGGCACTGAGTGCTCGGCATCTTCCCGATTTTCGTGGCGTAGGCCCAGCGGCCTCAAACCTTTGGAGCGGCCTGCGCCTCGAACTTGGGGGACCGGGCGCTTTGACTCGCGCTCTTGGCTGTTTGACTGGTAGCTCCATTGATGGCCGCAAGTTGGTTGAGGTTAGTCAGAGCACGTGTATCTGCAGATTCAAGCATGTTCGGCAGGGAAAGAACCGCGGATATGAAAGCGCATCTCTGGAACTGATGGCTTCACGGTAGTTTAGGATATTGACGTCAACTTCTCAGCGCATTGAGTCTTTGCCTATTGGACGTGGTTTGATCCCTTCGAAATGAGCTGCAATTGCACCTCCTGCCAAGCTGATGCCGCGTGCAGAAGAGTTTGCTTGGGAAGGTCAATTGTTTGCTTGGGTCCCCCAGGGGTCATTGAGGGTCTTTAGCTGAGCAGGCAGTAGCGGAACACAATGAAACTGGGGTAGATGCAAGTTGCATGTTTTTGGGTGGGGCCCTTTCACAGGGTTTTGACTGACTGCCTCCTCCTCCGCTTCCCAGAACCCTCCCCCCCGCCCCACAGGCGCAAGCCTCGCCGCGTGGCCATCTCCCGGCGCAGGGCGGTGCTTCTGCAGTCAAGGCCGGGCTGTGGATTGGAATTCTTGCTATTTTGGGTCTATGCGGGCATAATTTGAAAAGGGGATGGGGGAGGGGGATGATGGCTCTTACTGAAGTCATGAAGCTCAGCTGCGGTCTCCGCAAGAGCGAGCTGAGGAAAGATAAATTGGAAAAGCACCGTCCATTTGTGCATTCGCTCCTCCCTTTTCTGCTCTCTCTTCACTTTTGACATCGAGAGATGGGAAAGTGACTGAATGAAGGTGGATGGGTGTGCGAGTATGGATGTGAGAGCAGCTTCTTCATTCATTAGCATTCACGTGCCTCTCTGTCTAACCCTCTTCATCTCGAATCCTTCTTGCCTGAACTGACCCAAAGTGGGGAATGCTAAGCGAATGTTGGCTCCAGGGATTCGGTTGAGTCATGGTCATCGTTCCTTTGCAAGGCGCCCTCCTCGTTGTTTTCCATCGCGCACGGACATGGACACATGTGAAACCTACGGGACTGTCATTTGGTTTCACCTCAGCTCTCTGTGACAGCCATCCTCAAAAGCAACAGCAGGAGCAGCAAGCTCCTTCAAACCACATACAGGCGCCTTTTTTGCGCGCATTGGCCTTGAGCCAGTGACTCTCAGTTCACCTAATGCCAGTTTACATGAAGAATGGCTCTGTCTGGGTGCTCGATACACAAAAGGCGCAGCCTGTTAAAGTTGCCATCGCCCCTGGCCTACCGGGCCCTACCAACTTGAATGCACACACTTTTGGGTTGCCGACCTCTGAAGAGCTTGAAGTTTTGGCAGTTTGACTAGCGTGCATTGGATGCTTTTCGTTTTGCAACCCATTTGTCTTTGGCCATATGTTGGCACGCTTTGTTTTCCGTGGACCGATGTGTTCGGAGTCCGGAGCTTCTTCACAGATCCTTTTGTTTGTGGCCCGACAGCCATCTGCAGGCTTCGGACAGTGCTCGCCAGTTGCTTAAAACGTGCTGAAGCGCTGCCCGGGGTAGGAAGCGTTTTGTGAGAACCCTGTATTGTGTTTTCACGAATCTATCCTTTGGACCCTTTAGACGAAAGATGAAAGGCAGGTTGACTGAGAAGTTTTGGGAGCCAATTGGACAAAGAAAGGATACCTACCCTCTTTTTACACTGTGAGGAGATTCTCGTATCTTGTAAGTGTATGAGCTGCTTCTTGCAGCCCAGGTTCTTTGGCTCGTTTGGGCAGGTTCTTTGGTTTGTTTTTTGAGGCAGAGTGGATCAGGTGCTTGCCAGGTCTGCCAAAGCGGTAGGACATGAACCGAGGAAGGATGGTCCACAGCTTGTCTCTCTGCATCTAGGATCGGATGTGCTGGAGCTTCCTAGTGCCACTGCTTCCTTTCTGTCCCCTTGCCGTGCGAAGCCGTTTCAGCACCAAGTGCCTTGTCTGGGTGATGGAGCAGCCAATGACGAGAAACACATTTCAGCCGTTGTTCGGACTGATGTCAATGCTTTGGTGTCAGAACGATAGAGCTCGGAATGCGATGAGGCAGAAGGTACCAAATTCGGCCCAAATTCTGGAGGATGGACACACTGGCTCACAGCATCCACCTTGAACAAATTCTCAGTGCTGCATGGGCTCATCATTTTGTGCTGCAATGTTCTGCCGGACACCAAGGCGCTTTTGCTCGTGCACCCAGTTGGTTTTATAGTCACATTGGCGATGTGGTCATTGCTAGGAAAAGGGGTTGTGGAGACTCCCATGAGCTTACGCTACTCGGAAGGACAGATAATCAAATAGCCAGGTGACCCGTTGCCAGCTTGAATTTTGATACATGCCCAGCTCCTTGTACTGGATCAGCCCACCATAATTTCTATCCGCAGGTTTTGAGTTTGGCAATTCACGTTGCAGCGCGTGGATGTTGGATCTTTGGACGGTTTGTCAGCATTGGAGCATCTGCGGCATTTGGCTCAGAATTGCTAAGCTCGCCTCAGGATCCGTCCTCTCTCGCCCTGCGGGCGATCTACAAGTTTTACCTCACGGTCCTCCCTGTTCTGGACAAACCCTAAGGTCCAGTGGTCTTCATGGAGTCTGTCATCGAACTTGCGTTTGAAGGTCTCTACATGCTGCGCATCGAGCTCAGCTTCCTGCTGGTCTTCGGTGGTCTCTGGGCCGCCGGCCGGGTCTTCAGCCGCCCGGACAAGGCCCGCAAGGCCCAGGGCGCCGCCTTGGTGCGGCGCCCCAGCCGCCGGCCGGAGGAGGCCGTGCCCTTGGCCAACGTGGACCCTAAGAAGCTGCAGGACGGACGAACGTCGAAAGTCGAAAGTCGCAAGTCGGCCGGACATGCGACGGGAAGTCCTCCAGACGAATTGCCCGGAAGTTTCTTAGAGAAACCCGTGGAGATGCCTCCAGGTGGAGAGATTCTTCTGAGCTTTTTTTTTCCCGAGAACTCATGTTTGTAGCAGCACGAACAGTTGAACAGCGTGTTCGCAAAGACTGCACTGACCAGAGCAGTATCGCCATCGACATACACATTGTCGGGAAAAGAAGATTGAGGGCGCATCAGAGTGTATTCCCCGGGCAGCTTGTTGCAGCTGTCCAAGCGAAGAATCAATGCACTTCAATTGCACATGGTTACACAGCTCCCATGTGGGCGTGTCTCCTTTTTCCGAGGGTACCCAATTTGGTGTAAAGCACAACTGCAGGCAAGCCAGGAGCTCCATATCCCATGTCATGTCTCAGATTGGTTCAAACCACCAGACCTCGAACCAGGCTCCAAACACACACGGCGTGTTCAATGCTTCACAGGGACTTGGCCCAAGTTTTCTGCGGACCTCCGCCCCTTTCGCCGCGTGAGTCGCGAGGAGCCCGGGTGGGTGGTGTCCCAGGTGTCGCTGCTGTGCCGGTCCCAGGTGCAGAAGGCCCTGGAGCTGTACCGCGCCGCCATGCGGCAGGGGCTCAGCGTCAAGGCGGATCCGTCGCAGATTGGGATTGGGGGGAGGTGGCCCAAAACGGGCCGTGAATGCACAGCGGGAAGGGAGGGGAATTTGGGGAAGAAACAATATTGGTCACATAGCTCAAGCAGTGCTTTCTAGAAGCAAGATAGAGAGAAAGAGAGAGAGAGAGATGATGCCACAGCACGCCGGGCTTGTTGCACTGGAAGCTGATTTGCAATCCTTTGACCATACTTTGTGTTATATGGGGTGTTAGTTTAGGACGTTGCAGCGCACAATTTGGTGAAGGATATAGAGGGGCGCCGGAAGCCCGACCCAAGATTCTGAACTGAGTGTTCAGCTGCAAGAAAACTCTCCTGCCCCGGAGCAGTCCGAAATATGAAGCACCGCCCTGTTGGCGTTGCTGAAGGCAGTGGAGATGTCTGCGCTATCCATGAGATGATTTGGCAGAATCGCAAAGTGCGCAAACCCGGACACCCCTCATGACCTCGATTGGCTTTGGGAGGGCCGACCCTCAACCTTGTGCAAGGTTTTGCGATTTTGAACATCCTGGATTCCACAAACGATCATCTCTGCCACGATATGTCAGACGTAGCGCCCACCAACATCTGTCATTTAAACGGCTGGAAGTCTGGGATCGGTCTGCAAACTCGAGGACATGCCAACGGAGGGATGCCAACAGCTTTACTCCAACTTGGTGACTGCGGTGATCCGTGTTGGCCAAGCTGACGATGCCCTGAGCCTCATGAAGGACGCGGTCAGCCACCCCGCCCCCCCACCCCTGCATTTTGTGGTCACGTGAAATGAGGGGGGCAAAAGACGCCCCACCTTGGGGCCTCTTAGCTGTTCAAGAATTTGCCGCCTTGCGTGTGCTTCCAGGCTGGCGAGACACAAAATGACACAGCAAGCCATGGACAGAAACGTGCAAAGGGCATTGCACAGAGAGCCCCTGATTTCGCCGCTCGTGGGTTCACCAGGATTCTCAACCTTCCCTTTTTGGGTTCTCCTTCAAAAGGCGGCACAAGCCACTGGGGTTGAACCAAGTTTTTGTTTGGTGCCCTGAACCCCCCGCCCCATTTGGGGGTTGAGAGAGATCCATCTCCCTTCCCCACTTGAGGACTTGCGGCGGAACGGGCGCAGCGTGGACGCCTCACTGCTGTGCTCTGCCACCAAGCTGTGCACCTCGAAGCAGCGCCCTGGGCAAAGAAGAATACGGAGGGCACGGGCAAGGGGGAGAGCCAGGGAGGTTGAGGTTGGGGGTGTTTGGGGGATGGTTCGCGTGTCAACCGGCCGCGACGCTGAACTTCATATCGAAGCCAAGCAGTTCCAGTGGACGGTACGGGGCGAGATGCCTCTTTTCACCCACGTGCCAAGTAGTTCCTAATAAAGAAGCGGGTGAATGGGAAAGAGACATCTCATGGGAAGATACTGAGAGACGAACAAAGAGAGTGATGAAGGAGGAGGACATCATTTGAAAGCGCTGGAAAGAACTGGCCAGCGGGTGGGGTTCTCCTCCCTCTTCATCACGCACCCTTTTCCCGCTGCCTTGACTTGTCAGGAGTTAACACACACCGAGAGCCGCAGATGCGGGCATCGTCGCACAAGGATGGCGTTTGGCTGCAGCGCATTGAAGCTTTGGGCCACGCAGGCTTCAGCTCCGGTTTTGGTAGCGCAGGCTGCGTCTTTGCACTGCGCAGGGGGAGCCTCGGCCAGTTGCCGTGCAGCTTTGATCATGCCTGCATTTCCCGTGTTCAGCCTCAAAAAACAACAAGATGCCTGGTGGATAGCATCCGTAGCCAACTGGCTGAGCGGCTGTGTTTAGATCGCCCCCCCTCCTTGGTCCGGAGGAGCAAGGCTCTAGAGCGAAGGTCCCTATGCTGCCGACCTTTGATGCTGAGGTTGCGGCTGGAGGCTCCGTGAAGACCGTGTCTGCTTCTGGCGGCGTTGTTGGGCGGTTCTTGGTCTGCAGGCTTGCGCTTGTAGGTCTGCGTGCTTGCTCTGGTGCTGCTGGCGATGCGGGACATATCTGCCAGCTCTTCCTCCTCAAGAGCTTGAAACCAAGCAGGCAGTGTGGCAGCGCCTTTGCAAACAACCCCCTTGCAAAACCTGAGTCAGACGCAGTTCCACATGCGCAGACACAAGCGGGCAGCGACACGATTTTGCACAAGGATAGGGTCTGGCTGCATCGCGGTGAAGCTTTGGCGATGCACCCTGGGCCAGCTGCTTCGCAAAGCAGCATGGATTAGCCGCGTCAAAGCCTGCGTTTTTCCAGGGCTCAGCGTCGAACACCTTGCGTTGTTTTTCGGAACAAGAGGACCAGTAGGAAACCAATTTGGGTGTACACTGAGGCTTTTCGCGGACTGCCTCGCCATTTACGACTTTACCTCTCAAGATCCTAAGCTTGACATCCAGGACCCCCAAGCCACGTGTGGTTCCATATTTATGTATCGCAACCAGATTAGCCGCAGCCAACGTCAAATCAATGGTTTTATCTAGAGCAGGAACCCCCCCCGGCAAGCACAGAGCACGGTCCTGAAACCTAGGTTAGTGTTTGTTGCTGGCGTGGCGGACCCAAAGGGCCTTGGGAACCAGCGGTTGACATTGCGGCAAGACCTGTGCGCGTGGTGCATGGGGTCTTTCCCATGTCCTGAACCGCGACGTGCGCAGGACAAGAGTGTCTGGAGTTGCCTCTTGTTCTGCGCCGTGGAGACGAAGGGCGCCATGACAGAGAGAGAGAGAGAGAGAGACAGAGAGAGAGAGAGAGAGAGAGAGAGTGAGCGAGCGAGCGGAGGTTTTGTGCCTGGGCCAATCTGTTTTGTTTTTTTCTTCGAGAGGGAGATCTGAGGTGAGCTGGATGCTTTGGGTCCCTTCACATCCCAAACAAGCAGTTGCCTCTTGACACGAGGAGTTGCGAGCTTGCTTCAGCCTCTCGAGGCTTCCACCGTTGCAGCCACTTCTTCGATCGCCTCAAGGCATGCGGGGCCCCATCGCCCAAGGACTTCGGCCGCTTGGAAAGCACACTGGGCCAAGACTAGACAAAACTAGTCCGGAACCCGTCACATTTGGCTTACTCCAGGCGAGGCATTAGACTTGACTACACAATGGCTTTGCTGCATGTCTTTTTAGTTGGGAAGGCTGGTGCATTGGCAAGGCCGAGTCTAGCAGTCAGGCAGTCAGGCGTGGCTGAGGCAACATGGTGCGCTTTGCCTCAAGTACCAGCAACTGGCGCTTGGCTCTGAACCTCATTGACGAGATGCACAAGGCCAAGAAAGCCTCGTTGATCACTCAGGTTTCTCAAACAGGTTTCTCACTCAACGCGTGTTTGCGGCATCAGACTTGTCGCGCTCTGTGGGCCTTTGGCGCGTCGTTTGCGAGAATGCGTTGGATACTAACCAGGAAGCACACCTTTTCTTTTTGAGGAGGAAAGGTTGAATACCTCAAATACAGGCAGATGAAGTGGCGGTTTGCATTTGTGGCTTGCTCATTTAGCTTGGACCCTCAAAGAAACATGGTGACTGGGGGCATCCCACCAAAGGGCAGTACCTGGCTGCGGCTTGTTCTTGGTTTCGGCTGGCCCGGAACTTTTTAATGGTCAATGGGTTGCCTGGAGCCTGTATCTGTGTGAAAAGGTCCCGCGCCTTCTTTCTGTTTTCTATTTTGGGAGGTGGGGTTCCCCTGAATCAAGTACCCACAAACAGGTGTTCTTCTTTCGCGCGATGACCACTGAAGGTCTGCGGCGGGGGGGGGGGGGGAGTTGGGGACTTTTGGAACGGAGGCGCAGGTGGAAGTGGACAGCGTGGTGTACAACACGGTGCTGGCGGCGTGTGTCAGCGCCGAGCAGCTCGACCAGGTCCGGGCTGGAGAATTCGATGAATGGCGGGGCTGGTTGCGAAACTTGTTGGAACAAATTGGCCTGGTGGCAACCCATACGCGGCTTTTTCGACAAAGGTGCTTAAGCGTGTTTAAACGAAGGCTTAGCCCCACCCTGGTTGGGGACTCTGGGAAGGCCACAAGCAGAATGGTCGCTGAGTAACGGCACTTTCTCATGCGTGATGTTTGCTTGGTGAGAGAATGGATGTGACCCGGCAGTGCCACCAAAGAGATCCCTTCTTGGACAGCCTTGCCTTCGGCATAGAACTAGAAGGTGCTTGTTTGATGCAAGAAAAGGTGTAGAAGCGTCCAGAACAAAGACTTCTTTGTGTTCTTTCTGTCTGTACATGTCTGATATTGTCTGATTTCGTGATCAAAGAAGGGCCTCCGCGCAGGCCCGAAAGCTCTTGGACGACATGGTCGAGGCTGGAGGAGTGACCGACGTCATCACCTACAACACGCTGGCCAAGGCGATGGCCGCCGTTCGACTCGGGCCACAAGTTGACGGACGTGATGCGTGGAATCGCCTGACAGTATGGGAGGAAATGGCCAGAAATAGCAAAACAAGGAGCCATTCAATTGATGGCTGAGATGAACATGGAAGGGTCGTAACGGTATGCTTGCCTAAAGTCCTTGTAATAGAGCACAGGTTCGACGTCCAAGTTTATGATAAGCGCTTCTTAAGATGCCAACCTCGTCTCCAACCTCTCGCTTCACTCCATGCGACCTCTGGCGAGCTGGCACTTTGCTTCAAGTAGCACTTTCGCTTCGAAAGTTGACGTGCGCATGAGGCCATGAGGCATGCGGCACTGATTTCTCAGCCATGAGCTTGGTGCTCCATGAGCCGCACCTCGTAGCTTTCCCAGGGCTACGCGAAAGCTGGGCGCATGGACATGTGCTTCGAGCTCTACAAGCTCATGCGGGGGCGCGGGCTCAACCCGTCCCAAGTGACCTACGGCATTCTTCTGGATGGCTTCATCAACGACAACGAGGCCCTTTGAAGGGAGGGGGGGAGGGGCCCAGGAAAGGGAGCGCTGGTGTGGTTGGTGTGTTTGCTGCCAGGTGGAGAAAGCCGTCGACATTTTCAACACGATGCGTGCGGAGGGTTGCCAGATGAACACAGCCTTCGCCCCAGAGCACGAAGGAAACAAACGCTTGCAGATATATCAACCCACTTCCGATTCATGGGCTGGCCGCATTGTTGCCTGTGCACATGACCAGAAACTTCCAGCCCCCCAGTTCATGGCACAAGGTCCTGCCACGAGCCCTAGGCCCTAAACTGAAGCAAATCAAACGCCTGGCTCGGTGCAGGCCCCCCAAACGGGTTTCCTTGAGAAATGGCCGCCAGGGCTCGCATAAAATTGACAGGCCTTCAACAAAGATAGAATTGTCTGTCCTGACCGACCAGACACCTTGTTCACGCTGGCCAACCATGGCAAAATCGAGGGTTTGCGCAGTTTATTTCAGATGGCTGCTTTGCCATCCGCTGCGAAGAACCATTTTGACAGTCACGTTGAGCACTGCCAACCTGTTTTGCTCTTCTTTTTTTTTAACTTAAACGCATTAGGGGCACAGGTCCAGGGTGTGACTGAGGGGAGGGAATCCAGTTGTTTCCTGGCACCTTCGAAATCCCTACTCTTTGGTGGGTTCTCCACTAGTCAACCCAAAAATGAATGTTCTCTTCGACTGGGGGTCACCCCGGTGGCCCGTTTCAGGTGCTGTACACGACCCTGATCAAGGGCTTCGCCCGAGCGGGCCAAGTTGATCAAGCCGTTCAGATCTATGAGGAGATGCGGAAGGACCCTGAGCTAGCCGTGACCTGGGAGAGGTACCCAAACATGGCGGAACTCCCAGGTAGATTCTTTCAAGCAGGAGTCAGTTTCCGGGCTCTGGCAACTACGTAAGGACACCTCATTTGACAGACGCAACCACCTTGGGAGTTTCGGACTGCTTGTCATGATTGGCTGGCCCTCAGATATCATGCCTGGGTGAGGTGCCTTTGGAGCCAATGTAGCACCTCACCCCTGGCTCTCAACTCGCACCAGTCCCTCTATGGCCACAGGAGAGATCCATGCAACCAGATGTCATCACCTTCTCCATCCTCATCAAGGCAAATTGTGACGTTGGCAGGCCGGCCAAGGGCATATGCGTTCGCACATGCAACAGATAGGGTTGGTTGTCATTTTTTTCAGCCACAGCACTCCGAGGTTTGTCCTCAGTTGTAGCAATGCACATTTTCCGTGAGGGCCCTCCCAGCTAAGAACAGGGTGTGAACTTTGGCGATCTGGGAAGCCCAGTGGTTCATAGTATGATGGCTTCCAGGAATTTCCCTGCGCACATCCTTGCCACATGCCGAAGACGACACATTGTCTAAGGGAATCAAGCTTCAGGGGCTCCTTCTTCCATCATGCTACCGCAAACACTGGTGTTGAGACTGACATCTGAAGGGTTCCTGTGAGGCTGGAAGACGCCCTCAAGATGTTGCTGGCCATGAAAGAGGCCGGCCTCAAGCCTGACGAGGCCGGGCTAGCGGACAGCAGCCTGCTTCTTTGTGCTCGCGCATCCAGCCCAAATGGAAAGAATGAGTTTCCCGCAATTCGCTTGTTTGAAGGGTTTGCTTGCGATGTTCTTGGATTCGACCATAGTTGCTAGGTACATGTTAGATGATTGCATGGTTGACCAATATCCAGAGGTGCTGCAAGCGTTGGTAGCCTACTGTTGGCGGGTAGCAAAGGACCATTGAATACGCGTGGACTGACGTGGTTTGGCTCATGTTGGGTTGACTGTGTTTTTTTCTTGGTCGGTTGGTTGTTTTCTGGCCCTGGCTTCTGAGTTTGAGGACCGAGGCAAACACAGACAGCAGGAGAAGGCGGGGTGCACTTGCCTTGCCAGGTGGTCTTCAACAACCTACTGGGCGGTTGTATCAACGACTGCAAGATGGAGCTGGCCAAGGAGAGAATTTTCCGGCGCTTATCCATCAGTGTGGGGTGCAGATGTTTGAAACTGCTTGGGGGCAGAAAGGGACACCTCCAATTGGGGAGAGGCTTGGGGAGAGGCTCAGTGCGGAACGCGTGTTTTGCTTGGCACTTGTCAGGACCTCTACAAAGAGATGATCTCATCCAACGTCAAGCCCTCTGTGGCCACATTCTCAATCCTCATCCGGCTGTATGCCCAATGCAGCTGGGACAGGGTATCGGAAAGGCGTAGAGAAGGGCTGACGACGGCGTACTTTTCAGGTGCGCTACGCCTGTAGGCTTCCAAACTTCCCTAGCATGAACGTACCAGCCTTACCGACCACCCTGTAGGTGATCATGGAGAGTACAACTCACGCCATGCGACTCCTTTTTCCTAAGCTACACTGCTACAGAGTGTTGAACTTGTATCACCTTGCTTTCAGCCAAACTGGGCAATCTTGGGACACTGTTTGTGGAGTTTCTTGCTCCGTGATGTGGGAGGAACGAGGTGCTTGCAAGAATGAACAACTTCTAGACACGTGAATGTCATACAGCACCTCGTTCTATCAGGCACGCAGCAAAACAAAAAGGGCCGGTTGGGCGATTTGCGACAACTGACTTTTTCCATTTCAGGGTTCAGCCTGTGCCACGGCCTTGTCATGCAGATGCCAATGGGTTTTGGTCCCTGGCTGAAGCAGCGGAATGAAGGAGTGCGCAGGAAAGGGCAAGCTCACTTGACGCCAGGGAAGGCGATGGTTTCAAGACGATCACACCTTTGGGCCTTTGAGGCTATCCGGCTTAGCAGCCCCCCTTAAGTGAGGGCGACATCAGAATTATCTCCCGCGTCAGCTGATGTCCATTCACCCCATGTGACAAAGGGGCGTGGAAGCAGCTCCTTGAAGGGAGGATGGGTGCCGTCTCAGGCAAGCGCTGGGATGAGGCGGTGGACCTTCTGCGCCAGGAGACTGTTTGACCCAAGCCCATCCCCGTCGCCTTTCGGCTTCCCAACTCCCAGGTTCGCCGGCCCCAGCTTGAGGATAAAGCGTGCAACGTGAGCTCAAGGGAAATGCCTTCGCCCTTTGCCATGCCTCCTGTTTTACAACATGATGATGGGGTTCTACTTCAACGAGAAACAAAGCCAGGATATATCGAATGGTACGAGACAGCCAGGGCTTTGCACAACAGAAATCACGGTAAATCAATTGAACGGGTACCAACCCTGCTTTTCCCTGGGCTGGTTGGGGAACGGTAGTTCAATCCATGAGAGTCCCCAGTTTTTCTCGGCTGAACCAAAAGGAAAACCGCCGCCAGAGGGCAAAAACAGTAAAACACGGCCGCCAGATTCGCAGTTTTTTTCTATGCGAGGAGCTGCCCGAGCAGCGGGTGTCGCCGGAGCCCCGCCTCTTTGGGCAGCTGGCCCAGTGCTGCCTGCGGGACCGCCAGGGCCGCCGCGCCAGCGAGGCCGGGGCATCCGCTCTCGGGGTGGTGGACCCTTGTCCTTTGCGTTTCTGTTGGTTTTGTTGTGTTTTGTTCGGTTTTTATGGTTTTTGGCTTTTTGGGGGGAAGTGGCGCTTAAGGTTTGGGGCGGACGTAAACACAAAGAGGGATAGTATTAAAAACAAGATGATATGAGCTGGGTGCTGAGGGTCTTCGGGCCTTTGTTTCTGTTTTTGGAGGCTGTTTACTTTGGGACGTCTATTCCAGGGGGATTTGTGCATGTGTGTCTTTTGTTGATCTGCAAGGAAATTTCAAGGAGGTTTCTGTTCTTGCCAGGTCTGTCGCCCCCAACCTTCTTGGTGCCCTAAGCACAGCCCATCTTCAAGGGCCTTTTCGAACCTCTGCCCGCGTTTCTCTGTCGCAGACCTTGTAAGGTGCATCTGAAAGGTGGACAAGTGGGGGTCTTGGGCTTCTTTGACAACATGTGCATTGTATCATGGGCTGCGTGCAAGACCAGATCTTTCAACAGGAAGTCTATTCATTGAGTGATGTTGCCAGGTCTACAAGATGCTCACGGAGACGTCTACGCCCACAGCAGCCATGAACAGCACGCTGCTCGGGATGTGTGCCAAGCTGAACATGCTGGACACAGGCAAGGCAGTGTTGGGACCTGGGCTCAGAGAGTGCAGATGGGATGCTGCCCCATTTAGAGACCGGAACTAGCTTCCACATACGATGCATAAAAAGCCGGGCAAGCCGAGCGCTTTGTAGAGGACGAAGACTTGTCAAATTGGAGACTCCTTTGCATAGGCAGGATGATCGAAGGCAAAAACTGCAGGTGCTAATTGTATTCGGGCAGAAGTCTCACACCTCGGGGAGAACGAGCTCATCCACGAAGTCTGTTTACTTCAGTTCGGGTCTTCCTCATTTGCGGTTTGTACATTATCTCGTGATCTGGCCAGAGGTGTGGTTGGTTTTGTGCTTCCGCTGGCTTTGGTGCAACTTTTGGAGAGATGCCTCACAGCACAGGCGCCGAGATCATGCATCTGGCGGCCAACGCCAATTCGCGCGTGGATCCGCGGGACGCGGCGATGATGCTTGAGGCAGGGGCTCAGGCCGAATGATAGGAAAGGAACGTGAAAGCAGCCCTCTTGAAACCACGGGGCCGGTATCACCAGTATTTTTGTTGTTTTGCAGCGAACTTGTCGACTCGCTGTCAGAAGCTGCTGGATCACTCAGCATTGCGCATGAGCTGACACGAACGCGGCAACCAGCATTTAGAGTCCTTTGGGAAGTCTCCAATTTGATCGGTTGACAGCGAGAATATCTTCCACCTGGATTCGTTTTTGAGCTTCCTTTGGCTCTTGACAGGCTGCCCTGCGCAAGAAGAAGCCGCAGGTGATGGGCGCACTGAAGGACCGGGGGGGGGGGGGGCGTGGGTGGAGCTGGTGGCCTCAATGGGAAAAGGCATGGCAGCGGTTCGGGTTGGATATTCCAAATCTCAAGGCGGGGCCAGGTGAATGCAAGGCTTCTCTCATCCCGTTCGTTTACCTCATGGCAAGCCTTTGCCCCTAAAGTCCATGGATCTCATGCGGCGATCTCACTCCTTCCGCGATGGGGCCGCTTCAACCTAGCAGGCTTTCTGCTCTTTGGGGGATGTCCTCTTCGAAGACGAAATGTATCCCAGAGTTCCCAATTAAAGCCCAGCAGCCCATCCCAAGCTGCTGCGAGCAATTGCCCAATCACGAAAGGAAGCGAGGGTGCTGAATGCTTTGGGTTCTTGTGTGGCTTTGGATCGGCCAACAAGCTTTCTAACATGGCGTCGCTCATTGAGAGCCTTACTTGCCCGTGAGGTTCTGAAAACTGAAGCCATGCTCAGAGGTCACCCAAAACTGGCGCCCAGAACTGGCAGAATGAGCTGCGATGCATGCACATGTCCGTTGTTTGACGCCGAGCGTGTGCCAGAGCTCCAGGAAGCCATGGTCAAGCTGAACCTGCCTGTGCACGCATGAGCTGGCAGTGCGGCATTTTGCGACCGAAAACAAAAGCCTCGGCCTGCGCTCTTGGATATGTGTCAAGAGAAGGGCTAATGATGCGCGCGCACACACACACACACACACACACACACACACACACACACACACACACACACACACACACACACACACACACACACACACACACACACACACACACACACACACACACACACACACACACACACACACACACACACACACACACACACACACACACACACACACACACACACACACACACACACACACACACACACACACACACACACACACACACACACACCCACACACACACACACACACACACCCACACCCACACCCACACACGCACGCACGCACGCACGCACGCACGCACGCACGCACGCCACGCACGCACGCACGCACGCACGCACGCACGCACGCACGCACGCACGCACGCACGCACGCACGCACGCACGCACGCACGCACGCACGCACGCACGCACGCACGCACGCACGCACGCACTGCACGCACTGCACGCACTGCACGCACTGCACGCACTGCACGCACTGCACGCACTGCACGCACTGCACGCACGCACTGCACGCACGCACTGCACGCACGCACTGCACGCACGCACTGCACGCACGCACGCACGCACCGCACGCCGCAACGCACGCACGCACGCACGCACGCA